AAATATCGATATATTTATTCCACATCCCTAACGTCAAATACAAAACAAATTTTCGTCTTACTGTAAACTGTGGTTTATATTTTCATAGTAATTTTTACAATAACTAAAATGCCTGCACCGGAATTAAAGACTGAAGAAGAAACTACGCAAGAAGTAATAGAGCAACCTGCGCGGGAATTGAGTCAAACTGACCACATTAACAAAAAATTGTTAACTTCACTTTTTAACAGGATGGATGAGGGCGGTGATTCATTATTGGCTAAAATGTTGGAACCTGATAATAACAGTGACGAGCATGACGAATGGAGTGACTGAGATCTTGACAAAAGTACTGTGTATGTACTGTGTAATGTATTCAAATAAGATTTAATAAATGTCATCTATATTGTTACATTTCATTAATATTCCGTTGCTAATGTTCGAGTATGTAGGTACCTAACTAAAACCTAACAATAAAACCATATATTAGCTAAAAGTGGGCTGGTATGCTTAACAGCGTGAAGAAGTTGTTAGCAAAATTTTTAAGGATAATAACATTCAGATAATAATGGATAATATGTTATACATTATCACATGTTGCTTCATTAGTGATTATAACAAGTGATTATAACAACAACATAACACCAGAGGAATTGACATATTTTTTCTTACATTATCTTAAATTAAGTTTATCAAAAAAAACTAAACGAGCGGGCGGTACACCTGATTTTAAGTGATAACAGCTGCCAATGGAAATTTGCAACACCCGTACAGTTGCAGATGCATTGTCACCTTTAATAAAGTTTTATGGTAAGGCCACACAGCAGCCTTGGCTTTTGCACGAATGGGCAGGCTCGTCTGGGTATGTACCACGACCTCACAGAACATTGCCGTAAAGTGGAAGTATAACTTTTTCGCGTTTCGTCTGGTGAGTGAGGTGGCCGGAGCCCAATTTTCAAAGAATTGTCATTGCATCTAAAATCCTCGGGTGTAGCAGAGATCAATCTTTTCGTACTTTTTCTACATGTTTTAATGTCAAGTGCAGAGATTAGCACTATAAAAAAAAAACTTTAAAATTTATAAAAAGCAATGGTGATATCTCTTGTTCGAATCATCGTTGTAAAACAATATTCGAAATTGTTTGTATGCTGGAAAGGATATAACAATAGATGCGCCAAGCATTGCTTCAAATGCTAAATAACAATGTAGAAAGAAGGCGTTAAGGTTTTCGTTGCTGTGGCTCTCAGCTGTTTAGCTCAGTGGCTAGAGCGTCAGGCCGCGAATGCCGAAGCCGTGGGTCCGATTCCCACAGCGGCGACAATCTTTTCGTACTTTTTCTAACATGTTTTAATTGACACAATCAAGTTCAAGACTAATGAATAATTAGATTTATTTTAAAAGATCTTTGCTATTTTCTTTTGAAAATTTTTGGATAAATCAACTGTTTAAAAGGTAGATAAATTTAAGGACGTAAATTTTTTTTTCGGATTTGAACCTTCGGGATAACATTGCTTAAAAATGTAATAAAAAACGGAGTAGATAAGATGCGTTTGAGATTGTCCATGAGAAGATAAGCCGTTTAGCTCAGTGGCTAGTCGGCACGGGGACGTATCCTAGCGGATGCTGATTTAAGTCCTTACAGCGACGAAACACTTTTCGTGCGTTTCTACAAAATTTTAAGTTTCATCTTGAGCTCAGAGAATAGTGCTATAAAAATTAATATATTTTAACTACTTAAACTATTTAAAGGGATAATTAAAAGATTATATATGTACAGCTATTTTTATTAATCTAAATTGACAGGTGTTTAGTACAAAACTATACAACAATCACAAGAATTTTGCTAAAAATTAAACATTTTAATTATATTTTAGTACCAGTAAGATTTAGCTGGCACTCTATCTTCCTTGATACCCATGGATTCCATCACATCCATTTCGAAAGTAGCAAGCTTTGGCTTAAAAGTTATCTGTAAAGAAAAGAAAAAATGATGTTATTGATATGTTTTATCTTGTATATGACTTCAAAACTTTAAATAAGGATGTGTAATATTAAAACATAAATCAAAGGCATCTTATGGGTTTTGTTGGTTTTAATTTTTCAATATTTGGAACATTGCTATGTAATGAGTCTATATCAATTTACCTATTCAATAAATATTCTTTTAAAATTTTCTTCAATTTACATCCCAGTTAAGCCCAGACCACTTCAGTATGGGTATTAAAAACTGCAACTTTGTAATATTTCAGTAAGAGAGAATATTTTATAAAGATGAAGAAACAAGAATTCAATTACCGTCACAACTGACCTGCTATATAAAAATATGAAATGCTGTTTGACTTAAAGATTTTAAATTTACTGTAATACTGATTTGGTTTAAACACATTCAAATAAACCATAAAGTACTGTAAAGACCGTACCGCCGTCACATTAGCTGCAGCAGTGTCCTTCTGTGCATTCTCTACATACAATTCCTTACTTTTGTAATCAACTGTTTCTTCGGCACTCTTCGGTATGGGTATGATGCGGCTGCTAGCAAGTGACACCCGAACCTGTGAGTGAAAATAATTAAAACTTTAAAGGCAGCTTTAGAATAATCTTTGTGGTATAATTAATAAATAATATATTGTGTAATTTTAACTGTTTTAACTGTCTGTAACTTGCACAAATGGGCAGGTCTGTATGAGGAAGTACCAAAACCTCATAAAATACCGGTGTGAAGTGGAAGTGTTACACTTCTGTGTCTCATCTGGTGAGTGAGGTAACCGGAGCCCACTTTAGTAAAAGGAGTTTATTAAAATGCACCTACATTTCCGTGGGCGGTAGTTATCACTTAACATCGGGTGAACCGCTAGCTAGCTTGCCATCTTCTCACATAAAAAAAGTAATAATAAAATTATAACACTATTTAAAAGTTAATTAGTAATAATAAAGTTAGGTAATTGTAAAAAAAACCTATAAAATAACAAGATTCTTATTTTTTAAGAAATAGGAAAACCCTTTTAATTCTGGAGTCAAATTAATGCTACCAAATCAACTCTTTAATGAACTGATGCTACTGACAAGTATAAAAAAATCTGTTAGTTCTAATTGTATACAATATCCTTATAATTCAGAAGTGATATTGGTTTTTTCAAAAAAACATAGCATTAACTAAAATTATGTCTTTTCTATAATGCCACTAAGTTCGGGAAAACAACTTATTGTGGTTCTCCATATTAAGTTGTTTTCCTGAACTTTCTGGGTTGACTAAGGAACATGAGTGATTACAAATTTCTAAATAATTAGTTTATTTGTGATTCATATTTAAATTATGAACATATTATGTTTAAAACTAATAAATAAACTCACTTTTTCCCCTTCTTCTGTATATCTCCATTCAATTTCTGTAGGTTTCAACGTCTCCGGATCCACAAGCTTAACATCAGTGGTAACTAGAAGTGGTGCTTCTGATTGGATTGTGACACCAGGAAACTTTTTGTCTTTACCGACCTAAAATAAAAAAAAATTGTAAAGATATTTGAAAATACAGTTGTTCTGTGCCGATACATAATAGGAATGTGACAAAAATTAAACCCAAAAAAATATTTTTTACGATTGTTGTTCAGTTTTAATGGAAATAAATAGATATATAAAAACAAAAGTAAAAAGTAAAGGCACTTTCAAGGAATTTCCAAGTTTAGGTTTTGCATAATTTTTTCTTAATTTTTTGTGGAAAAAAAATATTGATGTTGCATTCATGACAAAAATTAAAATTTCACTTACAACTCTTAAATGTGTATTCAGTCCCTCGACAAAGACCCAATTACGTTCCTGAATTATTTGGTTTACGATACCTTGTTTTCCTTTGTCCCTTCCAACCATGACCTCGACACGGTCACCCCTGGAATCAAATAGTACTACTTTTTTAACTCGAGAACCTGTGTTTCACTTGTCCCTACATTTCACTTGTTGTTGTTTGTTCAGTCTTTTTAATCTTGTAAATATTAGGTAAATTGTTAAATAAAATACCCCTTTAGCAACAATTTCGTATTCAATTTATCGTGAAATAATCCATGAAATGTTTTATAAACCAGTGAATCTCACAAATTTTATTTATAATGAAAACATGTAAGTAAATTACCATCATTACACTCACTTACTTGAAGAAGGTCCATTCCTTAATGGGTTCCAAAAACACTTTTTTCCTTAGAGTATTAGGCTCATTTCTTTGTCTGAACTGTGCTGTCCACGGCCTTTGGGTACCAAAACGGTATTTCTTGCGAGCAATTTGCGCTGCTGGATATTGGGGATAACCAGTTGGATTTTTCCAATAAACCTATAACATTTTCTAATTGTAAGGTTATGTTACAACATAGTTTTGTTTGAAAAGCAAATATGCAATTCACCTGCTCATAACTCCTTTTTATGTAAGATTCTGGTAGATTTGAATATTTTATTGTGAGATCTCCAATTTTTTTACCCAAATAAGTAAATATTCGCATTTTTACAGAGTAGTTTTGATCAAAAATATGCCAGTGCTAATTTAATTTATTTATAAATTATAATTCTTTTTTTGACATGTTCCATCAGTGTTTACTCAAAAAAAAAACATACGGTGCTGCCATATGAATCGTTGTTACAGAAAAATCGAAAAAAGCCAATTTTAGAAATAACCTTTGTGTTATTTCTACCGGAACCTGTGGAACCATTAAAGATGAAACTTAAGACTTGAAATTTCTTGTAGAAAAATTGTTGAAACATCTTTTCATACCTGCGAATTCTGAATAACGCGTCGAGGCGGTTATTTTATTGCTAAAATAGTTAAACAAACATTGCCATACTTTACTTAGCATTACAATAATGACATCATAATAATAAGGGCTTTAGATAATGCTGTGAAATTAGTAAAGTAAATTGTAAACAATTAATGAAATTCTTGTAAACAAGCTATTCTTATTTAAAAGATTTATTAATGATTGACTGTATAAATAATAAAACATCAACATTTTATTTGGTGGAAGTTAAGATAAATATTTTCAATGAGTCTAATAATGAAATATTTTCTCTGAAAGCTGAAAGCCTTGTTACACATATTAAATAACTTTAAATACCTACATATTTGTTTTTTCATGCGATATTTCCATAGACAATTGACGTAAATCAGCTGTCCAATATCAGTTGTTGTAGGTGGCAGCACAGCATCACGTGAATTTTCATGGCGGTGTTGTAGGGCTAGTCCCGTATAGTCTTGTGATTTCACCGAAAAACTGCTGTTTCAAATATTTAGTGTTAAACAGCATTATTTTATAAGTACCGGGTGAGTACCATAGTTTATTCAGACTTGTGCCATGTACCTGAGAACTGCGAGAGACTTTTGCGCGCGATCATATATTGTCAAAATCTGACGGTCTTACTATGGGGTGGTTTGGGGTATAATTTCGGCCGAAGCGATTCAGGCGCCAGGATGTCTGGCGACGGAGTGGGCGCAAATGACCTGGACTAGATATTGATTAATGGCATGAGTTGACTTAACATCAAATTCGTCAGCTAACATCATCTTTCTCCTCATCCGCAAACAATGGTCTTAAAAAATCGATTATTAGTACGAGATGAAATAAATTAGTCTTCGAAATGTAAAAATTGTCAAGTATAGTCTTTTACTTATATTGAGCGACATTTTCAAGGTCAAATTCTGAGTTTAATTTATTTTTCAGCGGTGAAGATGAGCGAATATTGGCTAATAAGTGCCCCTGGCGACAAGACCTGCCAGCAGACTTGGGACACCCTCAACAATGCCACCAAGTCTGGCAACCTCAGCATTAACTACAAATTTCCAATCCCTGATTTAAAGGTATTGAAAAAAAAAGTACATTTAAAAAAGCTATGTAAAACATCATTAGTTTCTATTTGTTATATATTCAACCATTACCATTGAAATTAACAAAAATTGCAAAACTCACTTGTCAAATGAGAAAAACCGATTTGTGATCATAAAAATATAGTGTCAATTTTTCTTACTTAATTCAGCTCATGTGACTTTAAATGTTATTTTATATTTTTTAATATCTTGGGTTATGTGCTTTGCATTGAATATTTCATCTTAATTTTTCTTATATTTAAGTTTGAAAACAAATAACTTACTAACTAACACTTTAATGAGAGAATGTTTATTTAACATTACATGACATTTCAAAAAAATTTAAATGTTAAAACAAAATAATATTAAATTTAAATATGTAAATTATATATTAATAATAATATTAAATATGTAAATTTATTTTATGTGCCTCTTTTCAGAAATAGGGAGGGCCTTATTTATAACTTGTGATAGATTTGAACATTTATAAATGCTTGAAAAACATAGTGTGTCTTCAGTTCTAATTAAAAAGACAAGACTTTCTAAAGGACATTACCTTTTTTAATTTAACATAATACTTAAGTTTGATAAAAATTATTCCTCTCACTTTCATTTCTTGTTTGGCATGGTGCTCTTTAATTAAGAAATTGATACAGAACTAGAGCAATTGTCAAACACTATCTAAAATTACTGTAATATTTCTTTCAAAGGTGGGGACATTGGATCAATTGGTGGGGCTGTCAGACGATCTCGGAAAGCTGGATACTTTCGTGGAAGGAGTCACAAGGAAGGTGGCTCAGTACCTTGGGGAGGTTTGTAGTAAACGATTCTTAATATATTTTAAATTTTTTATATTTCAAACACTTTGTTTTTTATATTTCGTTGTGATCAATTTCAGTTCTAGAGCACTCAAGAGCACATACTCAAGAGATAATCATCAACCATAATGTCTTTTTTTAAACATTGGATAATGTTAGGATAATGTTATCCTCTGCTGTAAGGATGTTTTACAAACATAAGTTTCAGGTTTCGGACAAACACCCAGATGCAAAACAACTATTTGATGTTCACAAAAATAATTGTCACTTTCTTACAGCACTGCAGGAACTAAGAAGTAATTGCATTTTCATGTGAAGTTTTTTACTGCAGTGATCTGAAATAGAATATTCATTGAATGTTGTAATTGTCTTGGTACTCATGAATAAAATTATCTATGAAAAACCATGCCATAGACAACACCCATGGCAGTTTGAACTGTGTATCGTCAATTTTCCATTATCCCTAATAAAAAAAATTACCTCAGATGTCTTTACAAATATTTTAAGTATTTACATACTAATTTGAGGGAAAAAAATTAACAGATTTTTTCCAATTTAACAGGTACTTGAAGATCAGCGTGATAAGCTCCAAGAAAACTTGATGGCAAACAATAGTAAGTACATTTTTCTTATATCAATAATATTATTCAATATTCTCATATGGTACTAAACATTAATAATTTATTTGGTCATAATTCAGTACAATGTTTCAGTGCCATTTTGGTGATTTATGATGTTTTTCGGAAATGTTTTATCTAGGTCTTTTTTATACAAACACTAGAAATGAGATATTTCTAGTAATTTGAAAATATCAAAATTTAAAATTCTGCATGAGATACAACAAAAAACTTAAATATATTTAGCATGTGTGGGAATTATATATTAGAGACATAAATAGGTTCTGTTCAATTTCAAAAAGTGGTGTTGCTAGCATGATTAACTAATTAAGAAATATAGAATGAAGTGAAGTAGACGAATAAATAAATTAAAAGCACATAGTAGTGCGAAATTTTTAGCATGTCTTGCTGAATTTCGGTGGTTCATTTATTTTTTTTTATTTAATTTCCTTTTTCTTTTTTTCTTTTTTTTTTAGAAAATGTTATAATATTTTGCATGTTATCCTTACCTCTGGCCACACTAACTCACGCATATTTCAGCTGGCATTACACGTTAATATTTGTTTTAAATATATTCCATCATTAAGTATCAGTAATTTATTTGACATGCACAAACACATGTCGCACAATATACATATATATTATATCCTGTAAATATCTATTTTACGCACAAAAATAAAATACCTCATTTGATTAATTAAACTACACAATAATATGCATAATTATGTGTGTACATTTTTTTCCTTCAGGCAAACGTTTTCCTCTTCTTGAGCATTATGTATAAAATCCTATATAAAAGTTTTTCAAAAGTATAATAACATGCATTATCCAATTCAAAAAGTCAACTTTTATTAAATACTTGGCAATGTTAAGCTGTGTTAACATGTTTTTTATTGTTGCATTACACATAGATTAAATGAATTTAAAATGGCATGTTTAAATAATATATATCTTTATTAATGGAGGAGAAGATTTGCCAATTGCACACACCATTAGCACCGTACGAAAGCTAAGAATGTTGAGTGGACAGTGTTTTATGCATAATGGGTTCATTTACGTAAGACTATTTTGAACCCTGATATACTGCATAAATTTTGTGTTATATTTATTTTTGAATGTTTGTGAGAAATTTTTTGTTGCATTGTTTATTCATTTTGAGTTAATTCATCTAAAGCGAGGTCTTGAATATGTGCCTGCTTAAATCAAGAGGAACGAAAAAAAAATATTTATAAATATTTCAAATTGCTTTAGTAAGCAGATCTATGGAACAGAGTAATAATAAAAAAGCAGCAATTTGTTTTCAATTTGTTTTTCGAATGAATTAAAAGATTTTTTTCTTTTTCAAAACATATTTTTGCACATGTATTATTCACTTCAAATAAGCTTTTTATCACTTGTGTGAATGAATTATTTTATAGTATTTAGATTTTATAACCTAGATTTTGTGAATGCTAGACTTGGGATTGCATTTCAGTGTCTGAAAAGTGGAAAAAAATTTGCGGCAGTGAGTAATAGATTTGAAACTATATACGCTTCTATTGCATAAGCTTTATAAAGATTTGTTGCCAGTGCTAAAAAGAAATTTATATGTTTATAGTTTATATTACTTAAATCAAAGAATTCTGTAGTAAGTAACTGTTGAGTTAATTAACATTTTAAATAAAAAAATAAATACTATTAAAGAATTGTATATTACATTTCTTATATAAAATTTTTAAAAAATTTGACCAAGTCTACACCTATACAAAGGACAAGAAATTAATAAGTTAATTGAGTAAAAAAAACAAAAGGTCAGCGTGATTTTATTTCCACGTTTAGATAAAGAAAATGGTTTTCTGTGAAGAAAATGTGGCACACTGGTGGATTCCGGAGAACATCTGTATGAAAATGTTTTAGTATTTATATATGAGAGGTAATAATGTTTCAGAACTTTTTGAAACCGTAATATGGATGTTACTTATTTAATTCTTAAACTTAGTTGAAGGTTTTCAAGCACTCAATCTTTATTACTGAAAAAAATTACCGCCATAAATAATGAAAATGTTAATTTTGGTCTGTCAATCAGTAATGGATGATGCAGAAAATAAATATGCTGGATTTGTATTGTGTTAAAGTGATAATTGAATTGTTTTATGGGTTTTATTGGAAACATTTTCTTCAATAATTCCTAACAGCTATTATTGACGTTTAAGTTAAAGATCACAGGTGGAAGGGGCTGATCGAGTTTCGTGCTATCAAAATTGTGTTAATTGTAATACTTGTTCAATGATTTACTTCTATTTTTTAGGGACTAGATTGTGTATAATTTTATAAAAAGAGGCTTTATCTACACTAAACATAATGGTATATTGCAAGTTTTAAACTGTTTAAACTTAAGATCTGAAAATATTATTATGCATAGTAATAATCAACAATTTTTTCACTTTAAGTATTAGTGATGATAATATGTACCTAGTTTAAGATAGATTCTAGTTTCCGCACATTTATAATTTAAAATGGGATCTTTTTAAAATTAAACTGTCGTCATCCATAGACAATCGCAATCACTGCCTCACAAGACATTCATAGCTTAGCCATCAAGCTTTCATATTGTCTATGCTTTACGCTTTTTTATCTTCTATTATTACGTCTATTTTTCAGTTATGATTTATTTCGTTCCTATCCTTTTACTAATTTCCTCTATTTTGTTTTTCTATTCCGGTCGAGTCGGAAAGCGTTTGGTTCATTACTAAATGACACCGCGAGAGTACACGTTACCACGATGACATGAACTAAGATCCGCTTAACGGATTTCATCGCGTCCTACTGATTCACCGTTTTTTAGTCCCGATTTTTCTATCTCCGTCATGGTCACTCGACTCGATGCCACAGTCGACATTAGAATTATAGATTTCGCCCCCGATTCACTTAAAAACGGTCTTTCATTGAGCCCGTGCGCATATTTGCGCTGCATCATCGGCTACCACCGTGTATGATGGCGATCGAGAACTGGCTATTTTTTTTTTTTTTTTTTTAAATATTCTCAATCCCGCCGTCGGCGGCCGTCGCAGTTGTTCGCCGGGACCCCCGATAGATACAGTCGTGAACGTTTTGCAGAGCCGTTGACGAAACCCGCGCGCGACGTGCGGTTGCCGCTAAGTAAATACGTGCTCGGCCGGATTGTTAATGTCGCTAGGGCGGTCGGGGGGCCGTCGCTAACGCGCAAACAACGTGTGCAATCGTGGAATCCAGGCGTCGAGTCGTACTGCGACCCGGGCGGGGGGGAACCGCCGCCGACGCCGGCCGCCACGCCGACGCCTACCTCGCCCGTCTGCGATTCCGCCTTCTCGGAGCAGCAGGGCTGCTGGCCGTGCGAGCAGCGCGAGCGCTCCGAGGGCGAGGCCTCCAGCGGCCGCAGCTCGCCGCGCTGGGATGAGGAGGACGAGGAGAGGGCGCACCACGTCCTCACCCAAGGTCCAAGGGGCAACCGCCCGGCCCCGCCACGATCGGGGCTGCCCCGCGCTTAGCTGGCCAGATCCCCCCATTAAACCCCTAACATTCACCCTCAACCACTCCCATTCAGTAGTTAGAGCCCCCGCTCGTATAGCTCGCGTAAGCCCTGTACAGACGAGCCGTCGGTGTAGTCGAAACGTAACTCCGCCACGCGAGTTCACGTTTCAGCTAGCGCCGCCTGTCGACATTTTTTTTATATCAGTTTTGTCATTGTTGCGTTAAGAAGTTCCCGCATAGGCAATTGTGTTGGCAGTGATTGCGTTTGTTTCGATGTTGCCGGTGTTGTACCTTTATGAGGAGTTCACGATTATCTCAAATAATTAGCAGGTGGCGCTGGTAGCGCTATACGCGCCTATTTTGGTTGTATCTCTTTTGTAAGACGCACACCTCCACGTATTGTTTCGAAGCTACACTGTTCATGTAACGTGCTAGGTGAAGAATCCCAATCACTGACTTTGTTACCTTTTTTTATGGCGTTTGTAATGTAATTGTGTCGGCTAACGCTGTATTGTCGGCTGATATTCATAAATACGGCCGGATTTTGTCTATGGAATTTACACTGTCATTGTATTATTCGCTGATTTACGGCGTAGAAAAAAGTTATAATTTAGATGAGATAATTAACATTTGTGTTATTAATTACATGTTGTTTATAAATATCTTTGTAATATTCCTAAAAAAAAATATCTCGAATTATGATGAATGTATTTATTAATATCAGCTAAGTTAAGGATCCTTTGGAGAGGGTATTTTGTGTAAACCCAAGGCGTGATTAAAATACTGTATGAATTTATATATAACATTATTGTTATACACAAACCATTTCTAATAATTAAAAAAAAATCCATAAATACCCTCGCCTAACATAATTTTAATTAATGTAGCTTTACTTTATTTCAATTGATTTGCTTTTACTGTCTAATCGAGTGGAGTATGTGTAACTATGTAACGTTTTTCAATAATATTTTTTATCTGTCATCATGTCATAATTTTCGCGCCATTCCCTTTAACCTAATTACTATACGATGAGTTGTTAGTCGGGTTTATTGCGGAAATCGTCGTAAATAAATCAATCGTATATAAATATTAATGGGGAATGGCGTTATTGGAAGTTATGACTTTGTAGTAATGGGGAAACGCGTAAGGCGCTCGTGATTTAATATGAGAGCTATTAATAAAACTTCGTACCGTCTTGGCCTTCAAGGAGCAATAACGAAATTTATTTTGTATGTCGACGGAATCCTTGACGTGTGATATGTATTTTAGTCTGTATTTATTTGACGTATGTTATATTTATTTTTACTCTGTATACGTTTGTAAAATCGACTCAGTAGATTTTTTGATATTGGCCTTACATTTTTATATGGGCTCAACAGTTTCATATTATTAGTTTAATCTATTAATAAAATTACAAGCCATTATGGAATCATTAATCGTCTGTTACAATGTACCGATGAAATGTACCAGTGACATTTAATATAGACTAGGAATCTACATTTTTTTATTTTATAATAAAATAAAATATATTTGAAACCTTATTTTTAAGATCGCTTACGTTTGTATCGTTTTATATTTATGTCATGACTGCATTTGTCGTTGATGTCGAAATTTATAAATAAATAGAGTTCCACCTAACATAAATATTTTATAGTATCTTAGTACCACTGAGATTTTTATTCCCATAATGACAAATTGCTATATTTCATGACAAATAATATACGTATTTGTTATTTTAATAATATTAAAACCTAATTTATTCAATACTCTAGATTGTTAATTCTTAAAATAATTTAGTGTATTTTATTCAGTATGCGATGCACTGTTACTTTTTACTGCTTACGTTGATGATGGGTAGTAATATATTTCTGAAAATGATTCTGTGCCTGTTTGTTGCATGATAATTGTTAAGCATGATTTATATAAAGTTACATTCATCTGTTAATCTCTCTGGGGTGATCTTTGATGTGAATCGATAATATTCTATGTGGAATTATAATTATCGTATTCCATACCGAGATTTTATCTACATAATTCTTAACATTACGATGCATATATCGTAAAATTGGATAATAAATATTGAACTAATGCACGGTGGTAAATACTGTGGGGCGCAACACTAGATGTTAACTAATATTAGTTACGGTGTAAAACGGGACAGAAACGGCAAAAAATATGTCTGTTGTATGGGATCTCCAATTAAATATGTTTTTATTCTCTTTTTTAGTATTTGTTGTCATAGTCGGCAACAGAAATACATCATAAATGAAAAGTTCAACTGCTAACTATCACGGGTCATGAGATAGAGCCTGGTGACAAACGGACAGACAGACAAGGGGACAGCGGAGTCTTAGTAATAGGGTCCCGTTTTACCCTTACGGAACCTCAAAATAGCTTTTAAATTACACTTCGTTGACTTCTCCACATTGCTGTTAAATTTCCTTCATTCCGCGTATAATATACATCCAACTGGTGTTGCACACTGCGGTTGTATTTCGAGATTTTAACAGATGACTGTAAACACTGGAATGTTATTGATACTCTTTGGAGTGATTTGTTAGATGTTTAGGTTACTGCATGTTTCCCGTTTGCTGTACTCTGTGTACTTATACGATTAAATAGATATTTTTGTTTTGCTTTTGTTTTTTTTTTGGTTCGGTTTAAGTTTAAATGTTCAATTTCAGCACATTAGAAATGAGAACGTATTTTTCAATACCGATTGCGATTCTGTGTCACGACAATAACGTGTTTTATGTTGTTTTCAACACGTCTGTTGTATATTTTCTTATAACACACCATAGACACGTTTTTTTTTTTTTCGGGGGAGAAATATACAAGAGATACCATGTCTCAGGGGAAGATTAAATATATATTCAATTTTTGTATGTTAAATTGATCTTATAACGTGACATTGATATTTCTTTAATAGCTATTAAATTATTACAAATTAATTTTAATGTTGTGATTGTTATGGCATTAAATTGGCGTGTCTATGGATAATGTTAGGGTTGTGCCTAAATATAGATGTTGACGTAAGCATATATATAGAGTTAGGGGGGGGGGGGGGGGAAAATTTGTTCTAAAATGAGCTTAGTAGTATTTATAATATGTTGAAAGCGCAACTCATCCGTATTCTGTGACCCGTAGATTTTGCGTTTGAGCAGCCATTATAAGTATTTTAATGACATTCGTGCATTCCAGGCGACCTACCCACGTACCTCACCCGTTTCCAATGGGACATGGCCAAGTATCCTATTAAGCAGAGCCTTCGCAACATCGCTGACATAATCAGTAAACAGGTGGGTTATAAAAATTTCTTCTATTTCCCTACCATAGATAAGAGTTTTGACAGCTGTTTTAGCGCGAACGTAAATGGCAGTAAAATGTTCTCATAGATCGAACACGCGAATCGTGAGACAAGATACACGTCGCCGTGCGCGCGAAAAAAAACCGCGTGTTTTTTTTTATTTCAAAATAAAAAGAACTTAATATAATTATTGCACCTACCACGATTTCTCACCACGCCCCGGGTTGACTGGGAGAGAATGCCAAAAGGCATTAAGTTCGCCCTTTGTAATCCATGCTTAAGGTAATTGCAATAAAGAATAAATAAATAAATAAACACCTTTTGTCTATGCAGCTTCGCAATTTAAAAGGGGAACACTTAAATGTGTTTTGTGTGATGAACATAGTGTTTTTCTAGTGTCCGGGTGTTGTATGTATTTTATTGATTGTTGTATATATGAAAAGTAATGTTTAAGTATGTTTATCAGTTATCTAGTACCCATAGTACAAGCGTTGCTTACTTTGGCACTAGAGAACGTTGTGTAAAAATGTGTCCTAATTATATTTATTTATTATTTAAATATGGAAGCTCAATATCGGTCGTTCATGTTTGCAGGTGGGTCAGATCGACGCCGATCTGAAGGTCAAATCGTCCGCCTACAACGCCCTCAAAGGCAACCTCCAGAACCTGGAGAAGAAACAGACGTATGTATTTTTTTTCATCTCCGACCATAAATAGGCTTTTGTTTTTTTCCGTGCGCCGTTAATTTTATGCCAGTATTTAACAAATGTTTCGTTTGACGTAATATCATAAAATGACGCCGATTTTGAGTCTTAATTTTAGTTTATGCTTCGAAAAGTTTCTGAAAATGTTTCTTGTACAATCATTAATGTGCAACGCTCATTTTATTAGTATTTGAATATTCTTTTCGATTAATGATATACTTGTATAGTATTAATGAGTAATTAATAATAGTCGGGTATATGAATACATTGTAAAGAAAAAGAAATTTTTGATAATTTCACGAAAGAAAATAGCCCTATTACTTCTTTCGACTTTTTTTGATAGACCAGCTTTCCCTCTAGCAAAAGTCCAAGTAAGCTGGCTAAAATAATAAAATTCCCTTTACCTACGTCAGTAGAAGGGTCATTATTCGCCCTTTTTTACTATACAGGGAGGCTTTTCTAAGTGTCTCCATTTTTTTTATTAAATTCTAGGCATAAATAATGTTATATAAAAATCGTATACATTTAAAAATCACTCGTAATTAATTGAATAAATTCATTTGAACTTATCTCAAGAAGTGCGCGATTTATGGGCAACTCATTTATTTTACGCGCGACCATACATAACTAACACGCACACAAGTTCGTTTCATAAGTATACGACGCATTTATGAATGACTACCGCATTGTCAACAAGTTTCTTTGTTTAGGGAATGGCAATTTAAAAAAAAAAAGTTTGTTTTTATTTCAATAAACGATTATACTACCGAGTCTGAACCTCCCGTGTAAATTTTGGCACCTTTAGAAAAGCCACCCTGTATAATTATATAATTATAATAAAAGTTACGCGCCATAATAAGCGATTACTTCCTGAATCGTTAATATTACTCAATCGATTTCCGGGCGCTACCTTTTGACTGAACTTAACACTACGCATACACGTTTTGTCACACAATCATTCTACCACTCCGCTGAGGTAGATGTGTGATGAATAAATAAAACTCCAGTGGCAGCCTGTTGACCCGCAACTTGGCTGATCTGGTGAAGAAGGAGCACTTCATCCTGGACAGCGAATACCTGACCACCCTACTTGTCATCGTGCCCAAGTAAGTTAACCCGTTACATTCGTCCGATAGAGTCTGTATGCATGCCTTGTTACTTATTCGGTGCTTTAACAATGCAGGTTAAGTATTTCATAGTTATATCATTGAAACTCGGCTCAAAGAGAGATGGCTGGCTGGATGGCTGGCAAACCGAAAGTGATAATTAAGTTAACTACCAAACGGTAACACCGTTTAGAGGGAATCGAAATCAAGCTCTATGTTATTTCCTTTTGACTGAATGCTAATTAGAATTTTTTTTCCTGTAATGCTAGACGTAAGGTGCTAGATAAATAAATAAATATTAAATAAATTTATTTCTCAAATGTATTTTTTGTCGAGACGATATAATTTTCATAATTCTTAAGATCAACTAGGTTTTACATATTAATAGACTCAGACATTGGCAACTGCGCCGCGCAGTCTGCAAATATAAATCTCATTAATAAATAGCGGCTAGACATCCGATGCGTCGATGCTATCTTCTCCACGAGTTAAAGCGTTATACAATCTCCGAAATGGAAGCAGTGTTACCAAATGCTCAAAAATACTCCTAAATCAACCAATCTTAAAAAAACCACTAAAATCACCTAAAATTCACAAAATTCAAAACAAAAATTCGGCGCTGTTCTGAATTTACATCCTAAAAAGCTTATTAGGAAGGAAACTTGCTAAGTTGGTATCGGTGACTGGAAGCATAACTTCCGTTATGCTTCCAGTCACCGCACACTAATGTCGTCGCTAACACTCACTCATTCGTTCACCGCCACCATTCATCATTCATCACTCATCCAATAACTCATCGCGGCCCGAGCCTCCGCACGTCCGCTGTTACGTTCACTCAACATTAATTCACTCAGTAACGTACGCGCATAGCTGCATGTATGTTATTATATTATTCAAAACACCTGTCTCGCCGTCGGTAACCATTGTGTAACAACCATCTCCAACCGCCACCGTCTCACCTCTGTCTCGCCACTGTCTTGCCACTGTCTCACTTCTGTCTCGCCACTGTCTCACTTCTGTCTCGCTAATGGTAGCAACTGTCCTACCCATGTTTCGCCACTGTCTAACAACCATCTCACTTCTGTCTCGCTACTGTCTCCCCGCTGTCTCGCTATTGGTAGCAACTGTCTTACCACTGTTTCGCCACTGTCTAACAACCGTCTCGCCACTGTCTCCCCATTGTCTCGCCATTGGTTGCATCCGTCTCGCCACCCTTTCGACCACCGTCTCACCATTGTTTTCCACTGTCTCACCACCGTCTCGCCGTGCGCAGGTCGATGTTCAACGAGTGGAACGCCAACTACGAGAAGATCACGAACATGATCGTGCCCCGCTCCACCCAGCTCATCCACCAGGACAACGACTACGGTCTCTTCACCGTCACCCTCTTCAAGAAGGTGACCACATTACCCCGCTTATCTTTACACACGTGCATTTAACATTGATTTGTATTTTTTTATAGCGAGCTGGCGGTTCACCTGATGTTAAGTGATAACCGCCGCCCGTTGACGTTTGCAGCACCCGTTGGGTCGTAGATGCGTTCCCACCTATAACCAATAAATTGGGCCCCGGTTACCTCACTAACCGGGCGAAACGCGCAAGTGCAAAACTGCCAGTATTCACTTCACGCTGGTCTTCTGTGGGGTAGTGGTACTTACCCGGACGAGCCTGCCACACGGAGCAACTATTTGTGTGACCCAATGTTTAACACTCCGCGTGTTTTATTGACTAATCCTCGAAATTTGTGAACCACTACTACTAGAAGGGTCGATTAAATAAAACCACTCCTGTACTCTGATCTTAGCGTATCTTTATTTTGAACTAGCCATCCTTATATAGTACCACGTTAATTGTTAAATGATTACTGCATAACGATTACATTTCATGTATACGAATCGCACGCCATCTAACGACCTAAGTGGCTACCATTATGTTTGTTGCATCTTGAACATAATTGTTTCGGATCTGGGTGTGTGTTTGTCCACGTTATATTTATGTATGTAAAGCGTCCTTGCAACACAGGATGATATAATCCTAACGTAAGGGAAACGTTTTGGTTTTTATAACTATATAAACAGGCCAAGTGTGAGTCCGACTCGCACACGAAGGGTTCCGTACCATTATGTATAAAAGCGGCAAAAAAATCGTGTCAGTTGCACGGGGGCCCCCATTTAAATATTTTTTTATTCTGTTTTTTTAGTATTTGTTGTTATAGCGGCAACAGAAATACATCATCTGTGAAAATTTCAACATGTCTTACTATCATGGTTCATGAGATACAGGCTGGTGACAGACGGAAAGACAGACAGACAGACAGCGAAGTCTTAAATAAAATCGGATCGAATTATATCATTTATTCATCGTAATAAGAAATATAAATCTCATTTACCGATAGTAATTTTTTAAATCTACCACCGTTTCGTAATGAGGTTCCTCTAACGGAGAAGAATCAGATGAAAGAAACTCCGTAGGTATCCTCTTTTTTGTCATTTGTTTTTCTCAAACGATTACATTGTTATACAGTACAATACTTAGTAATAAGGTACCGTTTTACCTGTTGGGTGCGGAACCCTAAAATAACGCTTTCCTCCTCTTATAAGGGTTCCTCTTTTTACCTTTTAAGGTGCGGAACCCTGAAAGAGAATTAAAGCTTTCCCCCTCTTACAAGGGTTCTTCTTTCACCTTTTAAGGTGCGGGACCGTAAAAGAAATAAAGATTTAACGCCTTCCCCCTCGAATCGTTTGCAGGTGGTGGAGGAGTTCAAGCTGCACGCGCGCGAGCGCAAGTTCATCGTGCGCGAGTTCTCGTACAACGAGGCGGACCTCGCCGCGGGCAAGAACGAGATCACCAAGCTCGTCACCGACAAGAAGAAGCAGTTCGTGAGTTCTCGTAGCTCCTCGTAGCTCCCGTAGCTCCTCGTAGCTCCCCGTAGCTTCTCGTAGCTTCTCGTAGCTTCTCGGCTAGTAGGCTGTGTTGGTCATCGCACCGAGCCCGCTGACTTCTGCAACTTGTGGAATTGTCGCCTGTTTAAAAGTGGGCCCCGTCCCGGCCACCTCACTCACCAGAAATTCCAGAAGACCAATTTTATCAAAAGGCTGACCCGTCCAGGTAAATACCACGACCTCACAGAAGACTGGCGTAAAGTGGAAGTATAATACTTTCGCGTTTCGTCTGGTGAGTGAGGTGGCCGGAGCCCAATTTTCAAAAGGTTGTCAACGCATCTGGTACCCACGGGTGCAGCAGATGTCCATGGGCGGCGGTATTCACTTAACATCAGGTGAACCGTCTGCTCGCTTGGCAAAAAAAAACCGCGAAAATGTGACACTTGCACTAGACGGCGGTCTTTTGTAAGGTTTTGACTTTGGGCCAGCGGTTTAAAATTCCAATAGCTTTAAGAAATTTGTTATTGAACTCGACAAGGCCACGTCGCAAAAGTGCCCCATGAAGATACAGGCCGACACTGAGTAAATCCACCAGATCAAGGAAGAAGCGAGAAGGATCGACGGGAAACGCGCCTCTAATGTTCTTTATCTCTTTCTATTCACCGCGAGAATAGATGAGAAGGAGCGATGGAAAACGCGGCTGTAATGTTCTATCTCTTTCTATTCACCGCCAGAATAAATAAGCGAGAAGGATCGACGGGAAACGCGGCTCTAATGTTCTGTATCTCTTTCTATTCACCGCGAGAATAGATGAGAAGGAGCGATGGAAAACGCGGCTGTAATGTTCTATCTCTTTCTATTCACTGCCAGAATAAATAAGCGAGAAGGAGCGATGGAAAACGCGGCTGTAATGTTCTATCTCTTTCTATTCACTGCCAGGATAAATAAGCGAGAAGGAGCGATGGAAAACGCGGCTCTAATGTTCTGTCTCTCTCTTCACCCAGGGTCCACTGGTCCGATGGCTGAAGGTCAACTTCTCCGAGTGCTTCTGCGCTTGGATCCACGTGAAGGCGCTGCGAGTTTTCGTAGAGTCGGTGCTGAGGTAAGGGATGTACAGAGATGAGGGTAGATCGCTTATTTTGTGTGGAAGTAGACGATCTACTACCCAACCATACTACTACTACTACCACCAAATATCTAGAAGGTCTATTGTCGTCATCCCTTTGAGTTAGATAGCCTCCTCCAATCCAACAACTTTTTACTGTGGTAGGGCCACGCAACAGTGTTCGCTGTTGCACGAATGGGCAGGTCCGTCCGGGTAGTACCACGACCTCACAGAAGACCGGCGTGAAGTGGAAGTGTTACACTTCTGCGTTTCGTCACACAGTGAGGTAGCCGGGGCCCACTTTATTTATATGTGGCAACGCATTTGCAAGCCCACGGATGTTGCAAATGTCCATGGGCGGCGGTTATCACTTAACATCAGGTGAACCGCCAGCTCGTTTGCCACTTTCTCTCATTAAAAAAAAAACTAACGAAGTTGACGCTTAATGAGGTGCTAAGGGTCAGGGCCCTCCCAGTTCCCGACTCCTAATATTGACCAGAAATGGTGGAGCAGTCTCCTCGCCATCACCGCAGAATGTACAGAATGGGATCTGAGTGAGTAATAGTCGATGCAAGAATTTGACGAGGAAAAACGTCTCCTCCGTACCAGTGAACGTAAAAGCGAATGGAAAAGTAGTGTGAACAGAATGTTGTTAGGTTGACTAATTGTTAAATTAACTGACGACCCAATTGGCGTGGTGGACGGTGACCCTGTCTCTTGCGCCAGAGGGTGTGGGTTCGATCCCGCTTGTGGAAAAATATTGTGTGATGAACATTGTGTTTTTCCAGTGTCTGGGTGTTTATATATCTATAAAATGTATTTATTTACAAAAGAAAAGTATGTATTAGTTACCTTTTACTAATTATCTGAGGGAGATTTTCGAAAGATACCCTGTGATTAGAATATGACAGGGTTATGTGGGGTTCTTACCCAATAAACCCCCTCGGCAGCAATCTTCTGCATTCCACCTTGCGGCGTGTCCCCTTTTAGTCGCCTCTTACGACAGCCAAGAGGTAGCTTAGTCCCGTTCTACGAGCCCGGGATTACAGGGCTTCAGTACAAGCGTCGGTTGGTTCGGCAGTGGAGAGCTGCTCGTCATGACGCCGCCCCCGTTTCAGATACGGGCTGCCGGTGAACTTCCAGGCGGCGGTGGTGGTGCCGGCGCGCAAGGGCGGCAAGAAGCTGCGCGACGTGCTGCAGCAGCTCTACGCGCACCTCGACCACTCGGCGCACCAGCACTCGCAGGCGGCGGAGGTCCGAACGACACTCGCACACACTCGCACACACGCACACATACACACATGCACACATGCACACACGCGCACTCGCTCCTCGACCACTCGGCGCACCAGCACTCGCAGGCGGCGGAGGTCGAGACGACACTCGCACACACTCGCACACACGCACACAAGCACACGCGCACCCAACACGTCGATACGCTCGCGCACACACGCACATACACACGCAACCCGCTAAGGTCGACACGTTCCTCGCACACACGCGCGCGCAAGCCGACTTATCGATAAACTCGAGCACTCACCCATGTACTTTTACGTCAGCACATGAATATAGCGTAATCACCCGTAATCGCACGCCAACATTTCAACACAGTCGCACACACAAGCAATATCCATTGAGTCGCAGTGAGAACCTACACGAGCACGCACGAGTTACGCGCAAGCACACACATACGATAAGCTGTAATAGCTCATTGCCCGCTCCTAAAATTTAAATAAATATTTAACTATTACCTTACCTCAGCAACCATTATACTCAATGGTTGATCGACTTCCTCCCGCAGAACGTGGAATTGGCCGGTCTCGGGTTCGGCCAGTCCGAATATTACCCGTACGTGTTCTACAAGATCAACATCGACATGATCGAGAAGGCCATCTAGGCCCAGCCTCCCCTATAGGTGAGGATAATAATACTCTTATTTTTTTAAGTCCTTTATATTTTAAAAAAATTACCCTTATAGGATAACCTTATCCTGTGTTGTGGTTGTGAGGACGTTTTACAAACGTCAATTTCATGCGGACAAACACCTTCACGCGAAAGGACGTCTGTGGGACACACAAATAGTTGTCCCGTGTGGAAATCGAACCCAAAACATCGATGCCAATGCCTTAGCAACTGCGCCACGGAGTCATCTTTATGTGGGAAAAACTCTTAACCAGACGCATTTGGCATTGGATTGTATGCGGGAGTCGCTTATGAAGTTATGTTTTTGGCGCGTTTGGAAAAAAATTATGAGGGTAAAATTTGTAAAATTTTTACCCTCATAACTTCACCGACTCCCATAAAGCGGCATGAAGAAGTTGGCTTTGCAATGGTAGACAACTTTACTGTATTCACATGGCAACCAATAACTTTTTGACATTTAACTACAATTCCGAGTAATGTTATAAATCCATTTCATATCATTTGCATTTAATTTATTGTTCATGAACAATGAAAGAATACTGCCATGGGGGGTTAACATTTTTACTTATTTTTCTTTAATTATGCTAAGGAAGTATAAATGTGGCGTACAAACATTGAATGTGTTATATATGAACAGATATGAAGAATATGTTAATATGGAAATAATTTTCATAAACAATAAGACAGATTTTATATTTTATTGTGAACTGTCTATTTTACGAATATTTATGAATATTTTTTTTACTACTATTTAATATACTGTGTACATAGTATTATTTTATACTTTATAAGCAATTTCTGTCCGCAGGTAATGTTACCAGTACGCGTTGCCGGACGTCATCACGTCGAGCAATAGTCGCAATGTTACACTGTACAATTTATTTTATTCCCAGTAATATCTTTTGAAAAGTAGCAACACAGCGTCCACGCTCTACGAAGAAATCAACCAAGTCAGATGCGCCCCTCCCATAAATATATTTTTTATAAGTACAGGATTTTTGACTCGGTTTTTATCCAGTTTACGTTTCGACTCGATATATTTTTGTGCTTTTTTTGTGTTATTGTATCACCCCAATGCCGGCTGTTGGCTATCGATGACATTTATTATTTATTTCTTGTTGCCGTTGTAGTAAATGTTGCAACATTTCGGTGGGAACCGCGTTTCGGCTTTCGACTATACAGGTTTTATGCAAAATGCAACAGAACACATTCGCAGTATTATTGAGTTGCGTTTATATGAGAAAATGGAAATATATATGTATATTTATATAGATTAGTCTGTCCATTCGGAAGCCTGTATAATAAAATGTTCGATGAAATTTGATTATATTGGAAGTTTATTAAATGCAAAGCTATGTAAATAAGAACATTCCTCATTATAACTCGTGTAGTACATAATAAAATATTATTCAAGTTACTGTTATATCTTCTTTTATTTAAAAAAAAATACCTTTGAAGAGAATTTGTAAAAAATGCTTAAGCAGCCATTGCGGCTATAGAAAATTTGGGAAGGAAAGAGAATAATGGTAAAAAATTGGTAAGAAAGGTCATAAAGGTCATAATTCCTGTATTCAATTCACTGTGCTGTGACTTTATACATGTAATGTAAGACTAATCTCAGTTTTTCTTCTCACCATCCATTCTCGCCCTTTTACTAAATTGTATTAAAATTACTAGCTGGGTTTCATTCCTTATGTTAACTTTAACTGAATAAAATCAGTTATATTTATATAAAAACTAATATACAGTTATTAAATTAGTAGAAAAAAAATCAACAACTTGTAAAACTACAAAAACGCTGTTTCATCTTTAGTCCAGAGAGCATATAAATATAAAAAAATATATATTTATTAATAAGATAAATATTGCTTACACGTAAAATGATATATAACTGCACACTTATTACAGAATTTATATCAGATGAATTAGTTAAGTTGTTTTTGAACGAAAGCTGTAATAGCAACAACAGATTATATTGTTATTAGAAAATGATAACACAGATAAGATAAAGCTATCGCAGGGGGCAGGGAGGTGCGTAAATATTTTGTTAAACATGGCGGGAAATATGACATTCACAAGGAGTTTGTAAATATTGTGCTAGGTTGTTTTAGCACTTCTATTGACGTGCATTTAACTATTAAACGATGACGACAATAAAAGCATTTAGTTTGGATTTATTTTAATATTGTGTTTTTGTTGGAAAAATACAGACTACAGTAAAAGTACACATATAATCGTACATTGTGTACGCAGTATTTCATTAAATCTCTACGAAAGTATGAACGTGTTGAATTTGGCTATGCCCATATTTTTATTGAAATCTTGTGGATCATTTCGGAGTTCAAACTTTCGTCAGCCCAAAAGTTTAGCAACGCATCATCATCATCATCATTTCAGCCTGTTCGAGCCCACTGCTGAACATAGGCCTCCTCCATAGACTGCCACGAAGCACGATCCTGTGCCACCTGCATCCATCGACTTCTGAACATTTGCACAGGTCGTCACTCCATCTAGTGGGGGTCGTCCCACACTGCGATGGCCAGTACGAGGCTGCCACTCGAGAACCTTTCTTCCCCAACGGTTATCGGTTCTACGAGTGTGTCTATCAATGTGTGTTGCCAGTGATGGCCTACGGAACCGAGACGTGGTCCTTCACTGCTGGCCGTATGAGGAAGCTCAAAGTCGCTCAGCGAGCTATGGAGCGGGCTAAGCTCGGTATTTCTCTGCGTGATAGAGTTCGTAACGAAGACATCCGCAGTAGAACCAAGGTAACCGACATAGCTCAGAGGATTAGCAAGCTGAAGTGGCGATGGGCCGGCCATATAGCTCGTAGCAACGGAATCATTATTTATTATCGTTAATTAGGAATAAATTTTGACGTTTATTTCGGAATCACGGATATACAGCGTGTCGTTACAACCGCGATAATAAATGAACACACGTCTAACATTACCTGCCAATTATCATAAAAAATAAAACAAAATTTGATTCATACATTTAGACTTTTTCAATTGTTGCCACGGCGTCGCAATCTCTCCTTCTAACAGTATGTTTTATCTCTTAAATTCATTCAACCCATTCATATGCTTTGTGACCTTTACAAATGAACTTTAGATTGTAGTTTTATACGTAAGGTTGTTCTAAAATTGTTTGTTTTGGAAAATGTAATAACTAGATAATTATTGATGTTTAAAGAATGTGAATGTTTAATACAATTTTAACAAGTGATCCTCTATATGTGTGTTCATTTATTGTCGCGGTTGTAACGACACGCTGTATATCAATTTAATTAATGGTATGGATAAAAGGAATATTATAATTTGAGTCTTGTTAAAAATTATTGTACGTAGAAAACTGAACAAAAACTGGGCGATGTAAGAGTAAAGGCGACGTTTCGTTACAAATGTCTATCGTTGAAAGTTTTCCACAGAGTACTTTTGTATATAGGGAAATGATGTTTTCTTTCTTATGTGTTTCATGCTGTAAATTATGCGCAATATAAAAAAAAGAAAATTGTAGATGGCGCCAATCATTGCTATTAAAAATTCAATAATAGAACGTGGATGACGAAATGTTCATGCTGTGAGTCATCGGCCGCTTATGCGAGTTGGTAAAGCTACAGGGCGCGATACCGATAGACGCAGGTTCGAATCAGTACATACTATAAAACAAAGTCGTCCCGCTGTCTGTCGGTCCCTATAAGTAAGCTTCGATCTTTAAAACTATGCAACGGATCTTGATGCGGATTTTTTATTTGATAGAGTAATTCAAGTGGAAGGTTTATATGTATAATACATTGCATTGCACCCGCGCGAAGCCGGGGCGGGTCGCCAGTATAATATATAGTATCCATCCGAATCCTTCGATGTATGTAGTTAGATTTTAAATTATTTCAGTGACTTTTTACTAAGTGTTTACGAATTGATAAGGTAACACTTAATTTAACCAGAAGCGCATTTTATCATAAAACTAAGTTTCCGAATGCTTTACAGCATTAATAGTAGCGGGTCACTGAGTCCGCTCCCAAATTGTAAAATACGTAAATTAGTTATATTAATATGTATAAAATTCACTTAAAAAAAGAAGTTAATACACATACATGTGTTCATTCTCGGTTATCTTATTTTAAAGTTTCCATAAATATATTAACCATAACAAAAATAATAAATATACAATGACTAAAAGATATGAAAAGTTGCTGGCGGTTCATTGATGTTAAGTGATAACCACGGCCCATGGACATTTGCAACACCCGTAGAGTTGCAGATGCGATGCCACATTTTAACAAATTAGGCCCCGGCTACCTACCTCACTTACCAAACGAAGAAGTATAACACTTCCACTTCACGCCGGTCTTCTGTGAGGTCATGGTACTTCCCTCGACGGACCCGCATTTGTGCAACGGCCGAAGTTTTGATTTATTTCGATATGTTTAAGTATATTTAAACATATCTAAATAAATCAAGTATTATGTGAAATCAACCCTTTTCATGGTTTTTATCACAATACTAATTTCATAGATTCAATTCACCTGATGTGAAGTGATTACCGCCACCCATATAGACATCTACTTACTCCGAGTGGTTGCAGATGTCTTACCAAACAGGCAACTAGGCCTGTTACCTTATTCACCAAGGGAAACGAGAAAGTATAGGTAATACTACCACTTCACGCCGGTCTTCCGTCACGTCGTGGTAATCCCACGCGCTTGCCCATTCGTCGAGCTGTTGCGTGGCTTAACGCTGATCGGATATACTGTCTCTTAAATAATTAACAAATTTGGCGTAATCCAAGCAGTTTATTTGTAACATAGACTTAAGACTTTAATGGCTTAGATTTATTTATGAAAAATGTTTTTTGTATATTCGTTAATAAAGTATGTTCATTTTAAAAAGTATTCAATTGCCATAGCGGTAGGTGAAACTAATGTTATTAATATCAATTTAGGGAAGCTCTCTCTCTATTTTTATAAAAAGGTATATCGTGTCTTAGAGGAAAGAGACAATATATTTAGTTAAACGAGGTACTAGAAAACTTTTGATTTTGTTCTGTATTTGTTAGCTTTTTGCTGTATGAAAACATTATCAACAGTACTGCACATGACCATGCTAAAACCTATACTAGTGATGTCCACGCCCGGCTGTTGCTAATGTGCAGCCGTTGAATTACGTGCAGCAGACACTGACCTACATTATCGGTCATTAATATCACGTGACTAGTTATCGAAATCACGCCGTCAGCACGCATAACCGCTTTGCGATCGGCACTAATGCAACGCGTCGATATTTTTATATTTAATCAGTGAAATTCGTTCGATAACACAATTTCGTCTGCGCGCATGGAAAGTTTTTGTGTAGGCATGATCCAGGCAATAATTGTCTTTGAAGTAAAATAAAAATATTACCCGCTATTTTATGCAAGTCAATATTTACTATGTGTATACATAAAAACCTACTATTTACTAAGTACGTATACATAAATGCATTTTATTGATTTTATTATTTGATATTTGATTGTGTTGTTGTATCCCTAGCATTGACTAAATAACAAAGTTCCTGAAATACAATTCAACCTATAATTTTAGAGATATAATAGAATTCGGCCACCACGCGTTTCTCTGTTAGTTTTCTACCACCCGGGCACATTTTGTGGCATCTGTATACGCCATTGGTACTTCTGGGAGTCCCGTTCCCTTGCGTTGCCTTTTTGAAGTTTGAAGCATTGTCTATGTTTAATAGGTCTTGTATCTTGTATTAACTGGTGTTTTTGCTTTCAGTCCCGAGACTACTAAAACTTCATCTGACGCAGAACCGGTGGGCTAGCCAGAACCCACGGGTTTGGGCCCTTCGCTGTGGATAGGGCCGCGCATGTCCTCATGCGTGCGCTTAACTATGGTGTATCATCTAAGGGCCATCGAGGTTGCGGTTCGGACCGGAACCCCGATGGCCGTCGACTATGTTTTTAGCTAATCGGTGGCTGGCTATTTAATAGGTTCACCTGTTTATGAAGACGATTACTAACTAATGTCTTCCGTCAAGTCTATCGTCATCATCATCATAATTTCAGTCTTTTTGAGTCCACTGTTGAATGTAGGTCTCCCCCCTAGACTGCCATGACCCTGTGCCACCTACATCCATTGACTTCCCGCACACTTGCACAGGTCGTCACCTCTTTAGCGGGGGGTCATTCTACACTGCGATGGCCAGTACGAGGCTGCCACTCGAGAATTTTCCCTCGAGACGGTTATCGGTTCTACCAGCTATATGGTAAAGTCTATTTTAAATTATAATTTAAAACCGGCCAAGTGCGAGTCGGACTCTCACACGAATGTTTCCGTACCATTTTCTATAAAAACGCCAAAAAAATCATGTCTGTCGTATGGGAAACCCACTTAAATATTTTTTATTATATGTTGTTATAGCGGCACCAGAACACATCATCTGTCATCTGTTAGACAGTTGAAATTCTGAATTGAACATTTCAACTGTCTAACTATCAGGTGACAGACGGATAGACAGACAGACAGAAAGTGGAGTCTTAGTAATAGGGTCCCGTTTTTCCCTTTGGGTACGTAACCCTAAAAATGAATGTATGTGGATTCTCCACCCACTTCTATATCATCCATCCATTGTAAAGAAACTTCCGTGCTTATTCCCGTTAAGGTTCCCGTCTCAAAAAATCACACTACTCGCTCTGCAGAAATTACAAAACTGTTGTACATTCTTTATTGTTTTTCTTTATGATATTCTAGCATATCACAACGGAAACGAGACTGTGATAATATGTCTGACGGTCGCTGAAGGTGAAATAGTATTCGGATATAATACCAAGATAAAAACGGAAAACTTGAACGTTGACTGATTACGCGGTAGATGTAAAGATAAATTACGTCACAACGATAAAAATAAACAACGAAAACATCGCCAAATTCAAGGTTATAAGTTCAACAAGTTCTGACCAGTACATTTTCTATGACAATATTGGCTCACAGCCGGTTTCAATATCCTACCTTCAGATAGATTTGGAAACTAGCGATAGGTATTTGTTATTAGCTCCTTAATACGTACGTCAAAATTCTATATCTAGTAACCAAATCTATCTGTAGATATTAGAATATTGACACCAGCCGTTAGTTGTAAGTGTAAGAGAAAATTTTCCTTGCACGACAGTGCAATTGGAGTTGAGTGGAATTGAGTTTGGATTCGATCTTTAATACTGGAAAAATATTAAGTAATGAATATATTATTATGTCGATGTCTGAGTGTTTATGAATAAGCAAACACTCAAAGAAAAACAACAGCGTTTTATTTCAAATATAAATATATGATAGGACGTAATGATGGGTATTGAAAAAACTCTTTCATTTTAAATAAATATTGGATGTTTTTTGTATTTAGTGATAGAAAAATGTAAAATAATTTGTAATTATAGAACATATACATCTTGGTTGAAATATTTTTAAATCATTCTATTTAATAGTTTCAAACAAGGAATCAAGCAAACTCTAATGTCTTTGTTATTTGTTTAGATTTAGATTTCGTATGCCACAAGTCACGTAAGCATTGCACGTAGACGAGCATAATTCACTTGATTATGACATATATGGATACAGTTTGATTGAGCGGCAAGGCAAAGATAATTGCGTATTTATCACATAATTGGGTATTTATAACATAACCATGTGTGCTGATTGTTGCGTTCACATATAGCTTTACTGTATGAAAATGACAAACTTATAACGCTAATTAAAAGGAGAGATATTGAAGTAAAATTGAACTCACAAGCGAAGTAACATACATATTGATTGGCTAAAAAACTCTGTATGTCCTTATAGGTAATGAATAGTCTGTGAGTATTTAGAAGTGTGACTTGTTCCTTTTATTCGAACTGTATCACACCAACTGTTCTCTTGCATCACACATACGAAAGAAACATTACAATAATTGCTTTTATACAGTCAACTTTTCATAAAGGATATTATAATATTCGCCATTGTCCGAATTGATGAGTCACGAGGCAAGAATTTCTATTACTATTATTTGATAGGTATCATTGTCCATTTGTACGTATGTAAGGAGTCGTGATAGCTTAGTGTCCGGGCGCTCGCCTTTAATTCTTCTACTCGAGCAACCTGAGTTCGATCCTCGGTGCGGCACCAAAGAAATTGTTAATTTTAAGTGCCGAATTATCACCTGCTCGGCGGTGAAGGAAAACATCGTGAGGAAACTTTCCCTTTTTCAGCAAAAGAAGAGACCGTCCCTTGACAGAAGGTGGCATCTCCTGAAAAAAAAAAAAGATTGTGGTACGATGGTTATTTGACAAAATCTTCATTATTTATCCGAACCCAATGCGTCTTCGTCAGCGGCGGATTTGTAGTCTTGGCTTCCCTAGGCTCCAGCCCATGTAGTAAGTTCCAGCCGCCCCTGTCTCAGCGCCCATCATGTATCTTTTTATCATCGGTGAATTTTGTGTGACGATTGGCCGCCCCTAATATGTGGCCGCCGTAGGGCCTTGGGGCAAATCCGCCACTGGTCTTCCTAAGACTTCCAAAGTTCCTTATAGACCATTGTTGTCATGGCTACCCTACACGACCGACAATGCTCTTGAACAAACAACAAGTGTCTTCAAGGCAATAGTGAATAGGTTTTTACTGAGCTAGCGCGCTTACCATCCACGGCTGCAACGCCACTTACCATCAGGTGGGATGGCAGTCAAACGCTAGCAGTTCCATGTAAAAAAAAAAGAAAGACAACTTACGTCAAAATCACTGACAAACTTTCCTGATTGCCTCGTATGATCAAATTTCTGATTTCGGTCGCATCTTTTTAGATTCTGATCTTTAAGAAGATCATTCTGATCAATTCAGAGAGTTTAACCATCCTATTGGCAACCCAAATAACATTTGAAAAGCCATTTGATAGCTGATAAGTTAACTTCTACGATGATCAGTCTTTCAGAAACCGGGCATGAGTGTATGAACCTTTATACATTTTGTTAACGAATGTCAAGGTGGCACAGTGGCGAAGCTGTTGGCTTCGGCGCCGGGGCTTATGGGTTCGGTTTCTTTTACGGGTAAGGTATTTGACACACACAGACAGTTGTTTCGGATCTGGGTGTTTATTCCCAAGGAGAATTGAGGTCCGGCAGGCGGTTTCTGCCCAATACCATTAGAAACACGCTTCACAGGCGCCGACTTGGATAAGGGCGGGAGAAAGAAGACTTTGAAATTTAATTCATTTTGGTATTTTAAAAATTTCGTTCTCTCCATCCAGTTAAGTTTGTCGCCGCGACGTTTGCATTGTAAAAATGAACTATTCTTATGATTTTTGACCCCGTTTTGAAGCCCGTTCGGGAAAATTAATGGCCCGCGATGAAATTTTTAGGGTTTATTCAATGATTTGCGCGTAAATGCAAAATATCTGTAACTGCACTATTTAAATTAGCGTTATAAATGAAGATTATGTATATTATTTTATTATTGAATATGTTTATCTGTGAAGTGCGATCCGAGGAAATGTTGAGGTGTTGTGTTGCCGACTTGCCGCCATATTTTTTAAATTTCCAATCATAAGCGCGTTGCCCGTTGGCGGGAGCGGACGTGTCCGTCTGTCCCCCGGTTTCCAAGTCGTAAATATTTACAACTTGTGAGTTTCCTTAGCTTTGCACCCTCGTCGTTGTTGACAATGGAGCTGATGTATAGGGCCGTTCTGTTTTGTCTGTGCCTCAAAGTGTCCATCTGTAGTGAGGTGAGTATTTTTTTTTTATTATCTGCCTTCCGAAATATCGTATTCCTGCGGATTCAGTAATGTAAAATATTTAGCGTTTTGACGGTGTTAAAATTTTGGAAACTATTAACGCAGCTATAACGCGTTAACATTGATTGTGATTATATATTTAAAAAAATTAAATGGAGACTTTGATTGAAAAAATTTGATTGAAAAAATTAAATGGTGAATATATAATTAAAAAAAAACTTTGAATTAAGCTCTAATAAAATGAAAATCTCAAGGCGTCAGTCCTAGACTTTATTTATTGTAGTCGCTCGGTATTAAATATTATTTTTCTACCTATTTATTTTTCCTTTGAAATTGGTCTGTTTACTGTTAAAGCAAAAAATACGCAAGAGAAAACTATTTTGGTTAGTGTTTAAATAAATGTAATAAATAAATAAATTAATTTGTTTGATCTACGTAAAAGTAAAAGTAAAGTAACAGCCTATACATGTCCCACTGCTGGGCAAAGGCCTCCTCTTTACAGAGGGTATCAGGGCATAGTCCACCACGCTGCCCCACTGCGGATTGGCGGACTTCACATATCTTCGAAATATATTTTTTTTGTTATTATTTCGAAACTATGCAGGTTTCCTCACGATGTTTTCCTTCACCGCGGAGCACGTGATAAGTCAGCACTTAAAGTTAAAAACTTCATTGGTGCCGGCACCGGGGATCGAACTCGGGTTGCTCGAGTATATTGAATTAAAGGCGAGCGCCCGGACACTGAGCTATCACGGCTCTTGATCTACGTATAAATGCAATTTTATTGTGTGCTTAAAATTTTCATTTTTTGAAAAAAGAAGGGGTCAGTGCTCGAGTGCATTCAAGTGCATTTTAATTTGTTAGTATAAATGAATGCACCGAATAGGAAACTGACAAATTCAATTTGGGAAAAACACTACATAGACTAGGTACTGCATAAAACAATTGATGTGGCTTATTTTAGTAAAGTTTACGGTAGAAATCTGTTGTATTTAAACTCAAATCACAATGCCGGCGCAAAGAAATCTTGATAAAATTCTGTATGCAAAAGGAACTTTTAAAAGGCGTAACTTTTAATAAGCAAGGAAACTTATTTTATGTTTTATTTATATGATGAAAATAAAATATTTATATGATGAAAATTAAATGACGTATTATTGATACCACTGACTGATATTTATGTGTAATGGATGAGTTGCGTTTAATATTATATGAAGAAACTTATAAGGATGTTGCACCAACATCTGATAAAGGGGATTGTATACTACGTTTACTTGATTTGGATAAAACGCGATCTGAGGAACATTGTTCATATCGTGTTGTGACTTTATCTTGTGCCTTGACTAGTTAGCGAAAGTCACTGACACGTAAACGTGTTCTAAGCCACATAGTAGATGTTGCATGTTTGGACCCCTACTTCTAAGAACTGCCACCCATATACCATAGGTTTAATGTGCTTTCCACTGTTACTGGTAGCCGACCCTCGGAAAACGCTACAACCACACTTAAGCCAGTGATCACTTTATATGAGTTGAGCCGCCAACAACTGTGGTAGGACCACGCAACAGTGTTCGCTGTTGCACGAATGGGCAGGTCCGTCCGGGTAGTACCACGACCTCACAGAAGACCGGCGTGAAGTGGAAGTGTTACACTTCTGCGTTTCGTACGTGAGTGAGGTAGCCGGGGCCCAATTATAATAAGGTGGCAACGCATCTGCAACCCTACCGCTGTTGCAAATGTCAATGGCCAGCGGTGATTACTTTACATCAGGTGAATCGCCACCTAGTTTGCCACCTTCTCAAATTAAAAAAAACAACACTTTCTCGTATAAGATTCCAAAATGTATAGTTCTCCGAGCCCTCATAATCTTTATCAGGAAGTCTCCTATCTCGCAGAAGTATTAGCACGGTTTTAGTTTAATCGAGTGCATCGTCAACCGATAATTTTCAATTCCGTTATGTAACGTCTGGAGGATTGTTGCCACAATAAACTGAAGTACGCATTTATTGATGAAACGGGACGACTAATCATCCATATCGTTCCACAGTTCGCCGTTGAAAGATTTGTGCGAGTGTATAAGTTCGTTGTCTTTTAAAACTTATGGGGTGGACAGAATCTGCATAAATAAAAGGATTCTGCCGTTGTCCTCGCGTCAAGTGAAAATAAACCATTAGATAGGTATTAATTCTTCTTACTTATTTATTAAACATATTTAAATGGCTTTAATGAAGTAAAGAAGAAAAACAACTGTTGCTTTTTAAAACGAGAAAAATGTTGAAACATCTAATAAGATTACTAAATTTACAGATTATAGTCAAGTTAAGGTGACCGAGACTCATTTTCCGCCGACGATATAGGTAACATACCTTAGTCTCTAAGCCCTAATAGTAGAAAGATTTACATAATTTTATGTCTCGACTAAGTAAAGAGAATCCACTATCAAGTGGAAACGTAAAATGAACGTTTTAAGCAATATACAGTGTTGACAACATTTCCAGTAAACAATTTATTGTTGCATAAAAATTATCAACACTGTGCATCGAACTCTGTAGTTACAAACCGGACATTGTGTCACTGTGAATTAATATGTATAAACGAGAAATTAAACATTTTTAAATGATAATATTAATTTTCGATTTCAAGTACATTATTGTTATAATTTAATTGTATTATTTTCATGCACTAATTAAGGTTTAGGATTGATTTTAATCCTTTGCGTCTTGCTTATATTTGGACTAGTTCTGAAAATATTGTTCAATAAAGAATAAAGTTAAGAAAAAACGAATTCCTTAAAACAAATTTAGGAGAAAAAGGTTCGAAAACAAAGATATTTAACCTTCTTTGTGTTATCGTGAACGAATTTCCTCCTTTCCATGTCATTAAGATTTATTTAAAAACTCATCTCACACAAAGCGGAGTGCATACGTGATGTCATCCACGTGCGCCCTAGAAAGGGATTAAAAGTGAATTGGGCCGGGCGGTGTGTTAGAGTGTGATGGCGCTTCCACACCGGATATGGGTCGGAGAGAGTCGGGAGATATCACGCATTTGACGCGTGCTTAGGTCGGTGTACACGGCATTATGAGTAGGTTCACCATTTTGCTCTTTTTTTTTAAGAAAAAAAATGTAATTAACATAGGCAAAGACCTCTACAAAGGGTATTTGGCGGACTTTACATATATTTGGCAATTTTTTTTGTTATTCATTCGAAAATATGCGGTTTTTTACTTCACTGTTCAGCACGTAATAAGTCACAGCACATCAGTAAGTCGTCAGTGCCGGCAGCCAAGAAATTGTTAATTATCGTAATTTAAAATTTGGGGATTGTTCGAGATAAATCCGAGCGCCTAGACAATGAGCTCTCACGGCTCTCAATGTGATTACCTAACATGACCTTATTTGAAATGTAATAATATAACTGTTACGTTAATCACTTTTATGTATGAATAATAATGAATTAAAAAAAACTAATTACGACCCGGTACAAATCGAATAAACTCTTACATTTTTTTATTGATGTCATTATATTGAAACTGTATACAAAATTACATTACATAATTAGTGTATAAAGTGCTAGAAACGTCTTTATATTTTAATTGATCATTGAATATTAATAGTTTTCTATTAAAACGTAGAGCGGCAATTTTATTTTAATTTGTCCGCCATTGTTGGAATGACGTGGTAATAGTTTTCTCGAAGTGTTTACATCTGATGCAGCGTACGTAACAAAAAGAATTTTCATCCCAGTAAAAATGGAATTATCGAACAGGAAATCGTTTCAAGATGCTTTACGATAGGAAACAGTGAAACCAAGTACATATCTATAACGTAATAAATCATTTTATAAACTGGATACAAGTATAACAATTTATTTCGCCGCGTATCGACGACATTATTTATTCGAGTACTGAACGTAATTAATTTTGAGTTGAGTGCCGTTCCATGGTTCTCACATACCTTTAGTGGACACCATACTCATTTTGTGATTGAAATCGCAATGATTAAGAGTAGGTACTCGACCTAGCTCAGACATAAATAAGCTTAGTAATCTGAAGTGGACTCAAACAGGCTGAAATGATAATGATGATTAGGAATTTGCCAATACAAAGAAAAAATTTAACAAACAACCACATTTATTCGGTTTAGCAAGGTTTTACACAACGCTATTTATTCTCAAACTAAGCGATGGTTTTACTATGGGTACTAGGTAACTGATAAACGGATTTCGGCACACTTTTCTTTCTTAAATAAATATATAGCATAGATACACGAACACTAGCAACTAGAAACCGTATGTTCATTAACAATATTTTTCCAATAGTGGGGATCGAACGCAACATCCTCTGCCCCGAGAGGCAGGTCTATACCCTTCGACACTCGGGCGTTCAAATATAATTTTAATTTACGGATTTGATCGTGTTTTATTTATTAAAGTGCATACTTTTATTTTTACGCTGCGCGGCAACTGAAGGTAACACCAATTTCATGTTGTCACCATGGCACCTATAACAACTTCTTGACATAATTATAATTCCAAGTCTAATTAAACCGTTATCAATTGCATTGAATGTAGTTTTTTTTTTCTCAAAAGAAAAGAATACTGGCACACGCGATAAAATGTTTAATTGTTTTTCTTTTGTTCTGTGAAACATTTATTACGTCATCCAGAATCTGTTACTTGCGTCTGTGTGTGTTCGGTCTCTCTTCGCGAGTGTGCTCAGTATCAACACACTAATACCGAGTTTAGTTGATATTATTATGGTGTATTATTTGAGCCCGTGTTGTATATTTGTAATTCTTTGCAGACCTACAAGGCGGCCGTGGTGACAGGCAACTTCGCGAATGGGCTGGGCAGCTTCCTCCCGCAGATCGGTGGAGCCACGAAGCAGGTAACCGAAGACACAGAGGATAATTTTTTTTTTCGCGTAAAAACAAGGATTAAATATTTTTTACTGTGGTAAGCCTCGCAGCAGTCTTCGCTGATGCACGAATGGGCAGGTCCCTCAGGCGAATAACCACAACCTCCGAAAGAGCGTGAAGTGGAAGTGTGATACTTTTGCGTTTCGTCCGGTAAGTGAGCGGGGCCCACTGTTATATAGGTTGGCAAGCATCTGCAACCCACCAGTTATTGTAGATGACCGTGGGCGGTGAGTCGCTTGACATCGGGTGAACCTACTCGCTCGTAAATTTATTTATATAAAAGATGCTTGTAAGCCTTCCTACTTATTACATAAAAAAGTTCTTTTGCAATGGGCAGGCTCGTCAGGGTAAGAACCACGACCTCACAGAAGACTGGCGTAAAGTGGAAGTATAATACTTTCGCGTTTCGTCTGGTGAGTGAGGTAGCCCAATTTTCAAAAGGTTGTCAACGCATCTGCAACCCTCGGGTGTAGCGGGTGTCCATGGGAGGCGGTATTAACATCAGGTGAACCGTCTGCTCGCTTGGCAACTTTTCACATAAAAAAAACATCATGCACTTACCGTAACATGATAACATAATTTTATGCATGAGAAAAAAATATTTATCCCCAGGAAGCGGACATTGTTCTATTGTCCACGGACGTCCCAGCTTCGGAGTTTTGCTCAGACGCGGTATGCAGGCCGGAAAACTACGACGAGGTGATTATCTAGGAGTTCTCTCAACAATTAAACCACTTACTTTTCTTGCATTATTATCCTAAATATGATATTACAAAATTTCAGCTAGTAAGGGAGATATCTTCGGCGGCTAAGAAATACAATGTGTACATCGTGACACATCTGTGCGAGAGAGTACGATGCGATGGCGGTGACGAGGTCGTCAGAAGCAACTTAGTATTCGACAGGAGGGGGGGTGTCGTTACGGCGTAAGTGATTTAACTTGAACTTAACTCGGATACGAAGTTATCGTTTTTTTTTATAAGAAGATGGCATGCGAACTGGCGGTACGTCTGATGCTAAGTGATAACCGCCGATGGACATTTACACACCCGTCGTGTTTGCAGATGCTTTGCCAGCTTTCAATAAAATGGGCCCCGGCTATCTAACTCATCAGACGAAACGCGGAAGTATAACACTTCGGCTTCACGCCGGTCTTCTGTGAGGTCGTGGTTACCCGACGGACCCGGACGGACCTGCCCATTCGTGCAACAGCGAAGATTCGTAGTAGCAGTAGTGGGCTCTGCCACAATAAAATGTTGATAGTCTTGATAACTTTTTACGGATTTAATCGCGTTTTGATTTTGTTGTAATTTTTTTTTAAATAACTTTGGCGTCAAGATGAGATACAACTCAGTCTGTCCCGCCACCATGAACGCTGGAAAGGGTTCGGGAACGGGAATTAAAAATCAAAATTAAAACGCGATGAAAACAGCAAACTATAACATAGTTTCGTTTAATATGTAGTACCTGGAGGACCGAGCTTTGCTCGGTTTTTTTTGGTAAATTATGTATTTTGGAAATAAAAAAAATAAAAAATAAAGAAATGATCTGGTATAGAAAAAAAAGTAAAAAAAATAAGTGTGCAAATGATCGTGATACGAACCACGGCCGTCTGTTTGGGGGCCGCCCGATTACCGACCGAGCTATTGTAACATTTTATTTTGCGGCGAAATTTACTGTCATATTCGAATGATATTTTTCATCCCCTGAAAACAGGGATAAAAGGTCATTTTCTAAAAATGAAACTTAGCTAGATCGATTTTTCGTCCCCGAATCTACGCACATACTAAATTTCATGAAAATCGCCGGAGCCGATTCCAAGATTCCGATTATATATATATATATACACAAGAATTGCTCGTTTAAAGGATAAGAAGATAATATTCGCATAAAGTCAATATTTTTACATGTGATTTTTTTTATGTGTTAAGTTGACAAGCGAGCTGGCGGTTCACCTGATGTTAAGTGAATACCGCTGACTGGACATCTACTACACCCGAGGGTTACAGATGTGTTGACAACTTTTTGAAAATTGGGCTCCAGCTACCTTACTCGCAAGAAAAATCGCGAAAGTATTTGTCATACTTCTACATTACGCCGGTCTTCTGTGAGGTCGTGAATTTTAAAATTATCAGCCTAATGTCCCACAGCTTTTTGAAACACTAGAAAACGTCAATGACATTATTTTTACAAGTTAGGTTATTATGCATTAGAGCTAAGGTTGTTCACTTCGCACTTGTTTCTTATCGAAATTTCGTTTAAATTATGCTATGCCCTCAAAACGTCTCATTAATGTACTAATATCAATAATTAACGTCAGACCGTGGAAGGATATTTGTCATTTATACGCGACCGGCAATTTCAATGCTGTTCTAATTAGCAAACGTTACATTTTGTGTGATTAGAAAATAATGAAGGTTTTTGTAAGGTTTTTTTGGGTTATGTTTACTATAATGAAAGAAACATAATGCCCCCCAAAAAAGTTTATTTTATTTTTGAAAGCTTTATTTAATATTTACCGTTATCAAAATTAATTATTATTAGGGGAAGGTGGGGACCCTTCGTACGGTTTTTATATTTTATTTTCAATACAACTATTCCATTAAACAGTGAACTTATACAGTGCTAATATATTTGCCTCAGATTAATTAAAAAAATCTGTGAATGATATCTTATGTTTCTGGAACAATTATAGATTACTCTTTTTTTTATGCGAAAAGTTGCCAAACGAACAGGCGGTTCACCTGATGTTAAGTGAATACCGCCGCCTATGGACATCTGCAACACCCGATGGTTGCAGATGCGTTGACAACCTTTTAAAAATTGGGCTCCGGCCACCTCACTCACCACACGAAACGCGAAAATATTATACTTCCACTTGACGCCGGTCTTCTGTGAGGTCGTGGTACTTACCCGGACGGGCTTGCCCATTCGTGCAACAGGCGAGGCTGCTGCGTGGAACTAACACAGTAATCTCAAGTCAATCGTACGAATTTGCCACACGTATGGGGTAGTTTCATACAGTGTCGGGTATACAGGTGTTATATTAGTAATTTACCTTTAATTTAAATACTAACTTAAATGTTTTATTGTTCATATTGACAGTTAGGTAATATTTTGTTTGTAAATTCAAATGTGCACGATCCATTTAGCTTCTTAATTAATTAAGGAAACGAATTAATTTGATTATTTAACATTATATTAGTGTTAATTTTAACATTACATTATGTTGGCAATAAATTTGTAAGTACAAATTTATTGCCAACATAATGTACACTAATAAAGAGCAAACTAATAAAAATAGTTAAGACAAATTCAGTTATTCGTGGTGACCAATGCAGTTATAGACATTAATTAAAATAAAAACTCCTTTACAGTTATAAGAAACCGCTCAACAACCAGGCTGTTTGCAACACTACTACTAGTGAGACAGTGACCTTCGCTACCGACTTTGGAGTAGACTTCGTGCTTTTGATGGGCGATGACGTCATACTGCAGGATCTCGCAGCCTTGAGAAATGTGAAGAACCTCATCGTCACTGGCGGATCTAAATCGGATATGGCGTATTTAAGAGGTAAACACAAACACTCGTCCCGCCAATAGCCTCAATTAATATTTTTTTTTTTTTTTTTTTTTTTTTTAATTTGGCCTCAATTAATAGTTTATGGTGTCACTTCGCCAACTGTGCTTGCCGCTGCATAAAAAAGTTGTTAAAAAATGCATGGAAAATACTTAATAAAACAAAAAACAAAAACATTATCGTATTGCCATCTCTTGGCAACATATTGTTCAAATTGCAAAGTGATGATGAAACTTTTGAAAAAACAATAGATGCAAACTTGTGGCCAGTAGATGGCGTTGATACAAAATAAACGATGTTGTACATCGGCGCGCTCAATTTCGTCACACACAAAAATACGTTTTTGCAAACGCGCCAAGATATTTATTTTAACTTCAAAAAAAAAAAAATACATGATACCATGATATCTTTTACTTTGCAAGAAAGGAACATAAAAATAGATGCGCCAAGAATTGCTTAAATTGCGAAGAAGAAAACGATGTAGATAAAATACATTGAGATTTTCGTCGGTGTGGGAATCAGCCGTTTAGTTTAGTGGTTAAAGCGTCTGGGCACGGTTCTGTAAGAATTTTGATGTTCGATCAGAAGTGCAGAGATTAGCACTATAAAACATAAATTTCAAATACTAAAGTGTGTTGATTATTTGCGGTGATCGTATTGCAGCGAACCAGTTGATCCAGTCGTTGGCTTACGTCACTAGCGCCAACGTGATATCGGACAGCGGGGTGTTTGCAGGCGAGGCTGGTCTTCGGAATGAAGGTGGTTTGGTCCAGGAGATCGGCAAGGAGAGTGGAGGTGATAAATCACTATACTTTACTTTACTGATATTTTTGCTTTCAGCGCGGTTACTATCATTTATCATTTAGCTAACATAAATTAAAAAAATATATCTTTCATCTAACGCGGAACTCGTGGGTGTCCTGAACCTACGAGCTTGACACTTGTCTTGGGTACGGCATTTGAATGTGCGCGCATGTAGTCATGCGAGGGAAGTGCATGTGCTACATTTATGAGTTTCGACTGGTGAGTGAGGTAGGGTTCAAGATGCGTTGCTACATTATTAAAATGTAGCAACGCATCTTGAACCCTACGGGTGTTGCAAATGTCCATGGGCGGTCATCATTTAACATCAGCAAGCAACAATAACAATAACAACAGCTCGCTTGCCATTCTCTTACATAAATAAATATTAAATGGTTTTCAAATATTCTAAAACGGACCAAATTCGTTTCCAGTCAAATCCGAGGAAATATTCTTCGGACTCTTGGACTCACAAGCTGGCGAAGACCTGAGCCGGTATACCATTAGGCCGCTGGACCTGAAAGTTAGCAGAGAGGGCGACAGGCAAACGGTTTGCCACGGAAAGCTCTGTTGCGAATTCTACGTTAAGACGAAAACGATTGGTAAGTAATAAGGAAAATTACTTTAAAAGACCATAGTTTCAAAGTCAAATTGTTTTTTAGAAGTGTTATTTTTTCGATAAATAAGTAAATAAATTTTTCGTTTCTCAGATACGGAGAATACGCCTTACGGTTTCGCCGTTTTCGACGGTATCCGTCAAGTTGGGAAGAATTTCGTGGGCGTGGAGGTCTGCAGCTTGGTAGCGTGCGCAACTCATGATAGAAAAACGTGCGAATACGGGTAAGAATCCGTAATGATAGTATATCAACCTGTGATGATAGTATATCAACTTATTATGTTCGATCAATCATATCTAATCTATCAATTCGAAAGTCTATATACCTTAAATAATTCCACTATTGCCTCTTCTAAAATTACGGTAAATGATCGGGTGAATAAATCGCTATTTATGTAATTATGAATGGAAGAATGTTTATTACATAACTTCAAATTTATACTCTCGTAGACACTTTTATTACTTGATGTTGCAATCTGTTACTAATTCAACGTAATTTTTAATATTCTTTTTTTACTTTTCAGTATGGAGGAACATGTCAATGTCACTTTCGATAAAATCAGTATTACTGGCAACTTTACTGGACGTCATTCGGCCCAATTCCCTGTCGTCTTGACGTCTCAAACGTCACTGCCATCTGACACGTTCGCGTTCGTCGCGGCACCCGTCAACGATGTCAAACAGGTGAATGTTCAGTTGTCGGACGCGAGAGACATATTCAAGTTCGGCATTTTAGGCCACGATTTCTCCAAGCAATCGCTAGACACTTTCTCTAATGAGACCGATACAAAAACGCGAGACAACAGTGACTTTTACGAGTATATATTCAATGAGGAAGTTGTGGAATTCTTCGATTCCGTGTGGATTAAACTTAGAGTTTTGCTTTTCATTGTGTCCGTTTACATTTTGGAGATGATGTAATTATTCTCTCGATAGATTTCGCTGTTAACCACTTAAGTATGGAATATTACTGAAGAGTATACGCACTAAATTTAATTTTCTTGCCTTGCCATATAATATAAGGTGAAATGAAAATCTGTAGCAGTACCTAGCAGTTATAAAAGTAGACTCATAGTAGAATATAGAAATAGAAACTTTAACGTTTATGGTTTCTGCTGCAGAAATTCATATATTTTAATGAAGGCAAATATGTACTTCGACTTCAATTTTATTTTTCGTAACTTTATGTTCATTGTGTTACTTTCAATTCAATGTTAGGTGTGCTTGATTTTTAATATTTATTAAGCTTAAGTCTAGATTTTTTTTAAATTATGATGGTCTATCTTAAATACAATATAATTTGAAGGTAGATTATAACATCTAGATTTATAATTTTAAAACGTAATTAGAACAGTAATCAAGCGCACTATTGTAATTTCCTATTATTTTGTACCAACTTAAAATTTTTTCTGAATACAAATACTTCAATATTTCATATTTATTTAGTATTTTAATGTAGTTATATTTATATTTTACCGGTTTATTGTGGCCAAGTGATTTTCTTTTATCTGTTTAATATTTGTATTCAAGATTCGATTTTTATATTGGAATTTTAAAATTTTTGAACACTTCACAAATAACATTATGTGAAAGATTACAAAATAATATAGCACGTAAGCTGGTCACTGCCATTGTAATATTTTGTTGGGTGTAAAATTTCAAATTATTTTAATTTGGTAAACCGTAACACTATTAAATCACGACTTATGGGGGGTAGAAGTATGGGGGAACAAATAGCTACAACAGTGCCCAGCTAGTAAGCGGTAAATTACAGTTCTAAATCTATCCGGAATGGCGCTAAGGTAGCAGAAGAGTATGAATATTTACCTTGTTTGGTTTAATTTTTATTAGGTAGTAACCATGGTAAATTTTAATTAGACACATTTGCCAAATACCGACATGCAACCATAGCGCCACCAATTTAACGTCTTTCGATGACCTATACTTAAGGAGGTTGTTCTTCTTACCTCTATCCTCCATGTCACGACTGATTACTGTGATATTAGATTAATAGTCTGTGGTAATAAATAATAATTTTCTACTAGTGATGTATGATAGTTTCATTTTCCCTAGATTTGTTTATCCTTACGGTCAGTTTCAATATTCTATCGATCTGTAGTTTTGGTTTCTGGAGATAGAATTTTGACGGAAGTATTATGACGCTAACGTCAAACACCTATCGCTAGTAACCAAATCTACGAATGCCATCGTTAAAATATATTACCGTTTCTACGTCTAGATGTAAGTCATTACTTAAAATGATGTCAAGAACTTTAGGTACCTACATTGGAATTTATCCTTGCATGTTTGTATCAAGAAGGTTATGGATATAAAGTTTCTGGCTTGGCCGGGGGAAAACCTGTCATATGGAATCTGCTCTTATCCGAAATAATTCGATGTTCATATTATAACAGAGCCGTGATAACCCAGTGTCTGGGCGCTCGCTTTTAATTCACTATACTCGATTGACTTGAGTTCAAATAATGGTGCCAGCACCAGTGAAGTTGTCAATTTTAAGTGCTGAATTATCATGCGCTCAGCGCTAGCGGAAAACATTTAAATGATTATAATGACCCCTCATTTCATAGGGTATGAGGGACTTTAACCAGCAGTGGACTGATACTTTACTTTTATATTATCTGATTCAATTTCGCTTTCAGATGTCCGATACTTTTGATTACGGTTACGGAGTTGTATTATACAGCGTGTCTTTACAATAGGGACAATAAATGAACACACATATAGAGGATAACTTTTTAAAATTGTATTGAACAATTACATTCTTTAAACATCAATATTTATAAAAATTTTTCGAAATAAAGAATTTTAGAACGCCCTTACGTATAAAACTGTAACGTAAAGTTCATTTGTAAAGGTCGCAAAGCTTATGAACGGGTTGAATGAATTTAAAAGAGACAAAACATACTGTTAGAAGGAGAGGCTTGTAATGCGACGCTGTGGCAACGAATGAAAGTCTCGGAATGTATGAATCAGTCAGCTGTAGTTGTATAGGATGTTACAAATTTTGTTTCTTTTTTACTTAATTAGTTTGTTTGAAAAATATTTTTTTTAATTATGGATTTTTAACGGTAATTTTTTTTTGATTATTGGCGAACGTAGCATTAGACGTGTGTTCATTTATTATCGCGATGGTCGCCACACGCTGTAGATATGATTAATACTCTAAGGAGTTCAGTACTACTTTCTTAGATGGCGCTGTTTATATAAAAATACTCTTTATTTTACAAACTTTTTTAACATGTTTTTACAAAGTTGTATTAAGTCGTGTCTATCCATGACGATTGGTTTTGCATTTCTTGAGTTCCTTAAGATGGTCTTGATCATCATCAGATAGAGTTTTCTCAATCCAATCCATGAATGCCTCCACCTAATATCATATTGAAAAGATTTATGAGAGAAATATAAGTAGAATATGAATACTAATAGAAATACTGACACTAAAGGAAAAAGTTTTTTTCACCTACTACTTTTTGCACTAACTTCAACGATATGTCTCTTACATTCTCTAACAGATGTCGTTGTTTTTACCAACTGGTGGTATTATAAAATTAATGATGTTTGTGTAAACATCTAAAATAAAATTTTGGTTCAGTTAAATTAAAATAGTATCCCGATAAGCATTTCATTTAAAAATCAATAAAGGCTCTTTATTTTACAAATTTTAAACCAGATCAAATTTAAAGACATTATTGATAAATATTTTCTTCTTTAATTTCGCAATTTACTGTGCGTTCTCAAACGGACGTGTGTTTTTATGAAACAGACTTGTTTAAGATCTGGATGTATTTTCATGTACAATGTATGTCTAAAATACTACTCATAATACTATACTCGTAATCTTGTATTTTAAGAGGGTATGTCGAAATTATGTAATATTAACTAAGTTGGCTTCGGCGCCGGGGAATTATTGTTATTTATGTATGTAAAACGCCCTAATAATAAAGTATAATGTCATCCTGAAGTTAGGGCAATAGTTTTATTAAAAAAAGTAAAATAGTGTATGAGTTACCTTTGTATACACATCGGGTTTCCCTTTCGCGCAGGGGAGTCCCCAAGAAACTACCCCGACTTGCCGTCCTCCTCTCACCAGAGGGCCACCGGAGTCACCCTAAAAGTTGTAACTATAGATGATAAAATTTCCGATTTATTCTCTGCTATTTGTCATTTACGACTTACCTAGTGGCTAGGTCGTCGAAATCGAATTGTGAATTTTCGAAAGTTCAAATCCCAGTGTACACAACGAGTGTCGGGAATTTATAAATCCATTAAATAGTTTCATTTAACCATCGTAAAACATGTTGACTTAAGATTGAACATTAAAACATGCAGAAAAAGTACGAAAAGTTTGTCGCCGCTGTGGGAATCAAACATTCCGCTTCGGCATTCGCGGCCTGACGCTCTAGCCACTGAGCTAAACGGCTGATAGCCATAACGACGAAAACACAGAAAAACTACGAAAATCTTTTCGTAGTTTTTCTACATGTTTTAATGTTTTAATAAGAAATCAACTGTAACGATAATTAGAACTTACATGACAAGCGCCTTCGCCTTCCTTAGTTAGGGCGCATATTTGCGATTCGAAGATGGGGTTTATGTTCTTGTGTGCCTCTTTGCAATCTTCAAACGACACCGCGTTCAGTTCCAACATCATTAGGTCGTTTGGCACGCTGCCTGGGTACTATAAAAATGAATGTTCCCTTCAAAAAGTGTTTTATCGAATTATTTTAACACATATATCTATTCCTTAGGTCAAAACGACTAAATCTGTTTAAATATGTATAAAAGCTAAATGCTACTTATTACAATTCACTATACAAAATAGTTACGACGACAGAAAGATAATTCGCTTTAAAATTATGTAATAAGTTAAGTATAATATACACTGACAGTGTTGTGTTAATTCATTAATACGGGGCTAGTCTGCTTTACCAAGTCGCTGCAAAATAAAGATAAGGTGTTTTGACGTTTAATTACTATGTATTTATAACTTTTTGACACTGCTCGCTGTTGATCTACTAAATTAAAACGTTTTAAAACTAATGTAAACACAGTTTTAGGTTAATTTTAAAAATTGTAAAAATCAAGTCAATATTTATGATGGCAGCGTACTGTACTCATCAGTATTTTGAAAGTATTCATTTCTTTTGGAATGACTTTATAAAAGAGATACGACGTTAAAAAACTAGTTTATAGCCTTTAGTATTTTACATATTTTGCAATATATTCATTGCAGAGTTAGTGAGATAGATGGATAATATTCAATCTTTATTATTATAAAAGTAAGCCATTCGAATTGGATTTTTTAAATTATTCTGCGCGCCTGCAATAATATTATAGCAAACAGTTACGAGCGTATTAAATTGCATTGACTATTTTTCAAGGCATTTAAAATATTTGTGGACCTGAATCGCCTGCAACAGACGTAAGGGTAAAAACAAATTCGATACCATGTCATCTACTTCTTTGAAGTATATGACACGGTATTGAATTTGATGACATGGTATAAAAAAGACAACTTACTGACGTCGTGCCCCAACCGGTGAGGAGGAGCTTTTCGCCAGCCATCACCGGTTCGTTGTTCAACTCCACGGCGTCCACGTTGCTCCCGAACTTGATCTCGGTCAGGGTGAACACCAGCGCGATGTCATTCTTGATCACCTGGTCATCGTAGTCCTCGTGGCGAACGAATTTCCTGACGGGGTAGGGGGTGCCACCAGACCTCAGCTGGTTGGTGCCCACCACCGCCATGAAGTAGTGCGGTTTCATTCTGGCAATAAACGTTGCGACGGCTTTAAGCGTGATTATTTTTCGATTAACATATAATATTTAGTGTTTTTTATTGTGGTGCGTTTCTTTATCTACTAAGATGTATTTAGTGTTTATATATTGTTGTTAACAATTTAGTTAGTTTACGTTTAGATGACTGTGGGGCCACGGAACAGTCTTAGCTGTTGCACGAATGGGTAGGTCCAGCCGGGTAAAACAGGATCTCACAGAAGACCGGTGTGAAATGAAAGAGTTATCGTATAGTAAGTGAGGTAGTCGGGGCCTACTTAATTTAAAGGTAACGCATCTGCAAGCCTACGGGTGTTGTAAATGTCGATGGGCGGTGGTTGTCACTTAATATCAGGTGAACCGCCAGTTCATTGCCACCATCTCACATAAAAAATAGTTATATAATATGACTAGTTGACCGCTGCGAAATTTTTGCACAGTATCGTGAGCTGTTAACGAATGATAATTATGATAACGTGAGTTAACTTATCATTGAATATTATATATTGTATCTTTATTCTGAAGAACTAGCGGCCCGCCCCGGCTTCGCACGGGTATTTAACAAAATTTTTAAAACTAAAAATTATCATACACATAGAATATTCCGAATATTTCGTCTTTGGTGAATAATTTTATGAATTTCTTCATCTTTTAATGAAATAACCTTGAAATTACGTCATGAAGATCGAAAGACCGCTGACCAGATAATGGTTCCGCTTTAATTACGGGACATTCGGGGTTACACGTAAAAGTGACAAATAAGTCTGGTCTCCCATAGCTTCGGACATAAATCATCCCATCTTTGGTTTGTTGACCGATATTTGATGAGCCAATGTCTTAAAGATGGCAACTCATTTGCAACCCTACAGGTGTTACAAATGTCCATGGGCGGCGATTATTACTTAACATCAGGTGAACCGCCAGCTCGTTTGCCACTCTATCACATTAAAAAAAATCATGTTTTATTATCTTTATTCAATATAGAAGTATTATACTTACATATTGTCTAAAACACTACTACTGTCAACATTCTCTATAAAAACGGCCAAAAAATTATGTCTGCTTATATTTTTTTGTTTTTTGGTATTTTTGTTATAGCGGCAACAGAAATTCATCGTTTGTGAAAATTTCAACTGTCTAACTATCACGATTCATGAGATACAGCCTGGTGACATATGGACAGACATATGGACATACAGACGGACATCGGAGTCTTAGTAATAGGGTGCCGTTTTACCCTTTGGATAGTAAAGGTTTTTTGTTGGCTGTGGCGGACGGAAGACTGTTGAGCAAAATGTATGAAAGCTGATCTGTTACTGTGAGCTAAAACTCGATCACGAACTCCAGTCGTTGACGTTTGTTATCTTTCTCTCTAATCTCGTATACGTTGAGAACGCTCAGACCTCGATTCCCTAGTGTGAATTTGTATATTTATATTATTATACTCTTCAAGCCACTGCAAACACTCTACTTGACTCTCTCCGACTTGTAAGACGATTTTCAGTTTCCGGTAAAGATTCCTCATTATGACGTATTTTTAATGTCCTCGCCTGCGAACTATTTCTAGAAAGATGAGATCTTGATCTTTTGGGCATTTTAAAATGATAAAAAAATTAAACTTCCTCAGTATTTAATAATTTGCTAAATGTTGAACAGGAATTACCAGTATAAATATGATTGAAAACTTATAAGAACTACTAAGTCAGTCACTAATAGTTAGACATATGCTGTCACGACACTTTTGTAAATAATGATGTGGTCTGCAAAGTCGTAGTACATTACTTTATTCTATCATCAATAATTTTCGCAGCGCACGCGATGTAAAGAAAATTTTAGGTAATTTTTGTACACCTTGAGTAACATTATTGGAGTTTTAGTAAGGATCCCTAATTTTTTGAAAATGTTATATAGCCCAAGTCAAACAGGGATAATGTAGCTTCTCAACAGTGAAAGAATTTTTCAAATCGGTTAAGTAGTTTCGGAGCCTATTCGATACATACAAACAATCAAATCTTTCCTCTTTATATAATAAAAAAGAAGAAAGATAACTCTAAAATTAGGTCCGATATGTTTCATTCAAATAAATTTTCAATAGATGGCGTTGACATAAATTCTTTATAAGAACCTTTTTTTATGACAACATTATATTTTATTTGACTATTTCTCGTCAGTAATTTTATTTAATTTTATTCATGAATTGCGAATCACTTGTCAGTGAGTATAGACAAATAAACAAACGGTGTAATTTATTGGTAAATGAGAAAAAGTGGTTTAGGTCGCGTATGCCATGAATTAAGTAATATTAAAAACGAAAATAAAACAGCCATTGCTTATTTACAAAGACCTCTAATATTATATCTTACATTCATAGATCACAAAATTCTATAGAAATTAGGTTTTTCTTTTCGTAATTTTCTAAATACAAACTATTTTACGGATTTTATCGCATTTGATTTTGCTTTTTTCCTCGACTTACTTAAATCACAACGAACTGATTTGGGAAGTATAATATTCTGATAACACTGTTGTATGCTAGTAAGGCTACAACGTATGCACTCTGTAATTTAATGTAATTTATAGTTTCTATATACGTTTTGGTGTTTTCATATGTAATATAGAAACGAAAACTAACCTGTCGACGCAATGGGCCGCTGTGAGAATGACCTTGGTAGTCATTATGGAAGCACCGCAGAAGTGCCTCACTCCGAACCACCGTAGGGATACCTGGTAAGGCGCGGAGCCGTTGGGGGCCTTGGTGCCGCCCACTATGCGGTCCCACTCGTCTCTGACGTCATCGGCACCAAACAGTCCCGGGGACCCTGGAAGCAGTGTCGAGGAGAGTATGAGTGAACGTTGAAGCTAAGGTGAAACGGAAAATCGTATCGAAAATCACGCAGGCGATCGCCTTCACTCGGCGGACGAAATTCAAAAGTATGCGTAGAGTAGCGGCCTATAAATGTCCCACAGCTGGGCAAAAGCCTCCTTTATACAGAGGGTATCAGGGCACAGTCCACCACGCGGCCCCACTGCGGATTGGCAAATAAGTGAAAAATATATAGTTGCTACGTGCTACCAGCGATAATGACCGCATTTAAATCGTAAGAACAAATAAAATTTTTATACTTATTATTTGAATTTAATTATAACATATAAGTACCTATGTGTGATGATGATTTAAGTGATATTAGTTGTAATTTTGTTTTATATAATGTGAAGCTTATCTATCATTTTGTTTGATTTATTCTGTTAAAGGTTTAACATAGGGAAATAATTTTTACGTATATGAACCAATACTTCATCCCCAGCCACCAAGTCAGGATGGCCGAGCGGTCTAAGGCGCTGCGTTCAGGTCGCAGTCCACTTCTGTGGGCGTGGGTTCGAATCCCACTTCTGACAAGGCTTTTTTTGGTATTTTTTGAAATTTAATCAGAGTTTAAATTAACTTAAACAATATCTATCTTCCCATTTATTCATAATTTCTTATAATCCTTTTATAACGAATTATATTAGTTTTCTGTTTATACCTAAATTTTATTAGAATAAAACTGTATCTACACAAAACCAAACCGACAAAAATGTATCGGAATTTTTTAACAACATAATTGGAGGCCATTTTAATCATTTCCTAATAAGTTATGCCTTATTGCAAAAATGTTTCTAGTTTTTTTATTAATTGTCTTGTACTACTTACGCTGTTAATATTTATAAAGTCCCATTGTATACAATAATATGTTATTTTAAATAGCGGTTAATGTACAAAAAAATTAATAAATTAATTATAAGCTTCACATCGCGATATAACTTTACAAACTAAAAAAAACTCAACAATTAATACATTACCAAAACTAGGAGATATAAGCCCCACCAACACTACTACGATACATTTCCTAAACATATTTTTAACTAACTATATTTGGACTGAAGTGAAACGAAGGAATTTCCACAATAAATAGTTAAGCTGAAATATGCCCTAGGATATTATTCAAATGTATGTAAATGTCTAACGATTGCAATGAACTAAATATTTGTTGATAGGGACCCCTATAGTGTAATAACAAAACGTTTGTATGTCCTTTAATGTGTGTAGTAATCATTGATTGAATTTTTATTTCTTTTTCCAACTGAAAGAGAGCATGTAAATTTGGCATTGCCAAAACGAATTAAGTTGCCTTATATGCAATAAGGAATAAAAATTCGAGGAATATAACTCATTTGTTGTCTATGTTCTTATTAAAAAAAAAAAAACAGAAGCGTGAAATTTAATGCAAAAACCTTTATTATATTAATTATATTTATCACTATCGTCAACGAATTTTTTTTATGCAAGAGTACACACAAACATACACACTACAGTTATTTTATACTTATAGAGCCGAGAGTAGAAACTCTTCTGCATTTATATTTTTGATGTGTATTGTTTTGGCTGTTGATGACAAGTTAATCAAAGATATACCTCTTTTAAGGATTACCACTTAACAATCTGAGTCCAGCCATATCCTTTATTGTGGTACAAGCCGAAGATCAAACCTCCGACCCTTTTTTTAATGTGAGAAGGTCCGAACGGGCTGGCGGTTCACCTGATGTTTAGTGATGACAGCTGCCCATGGACATTTGGAACACCCGTAAGTTTGAAGATGCGTTATCACCTTATAATAAAGTGGGCCCGGCTACCTCACCCACCAGACGAAACGCAGAAGTATAAAACTTCCACTTTACGCCGGTCTTCTGTGAGGTCGTTGTACTAACCCGGACGGACCTGCCCAACAGCGTGCAACAGCGAAGAGTTTGTGGTAGAGTCACGCAACGACTCTACAACAGTTAAATAATAAATAATAATATCTAGGGATCATACATTTTTATACATACTTCCAATAAATAGTTTTGTACAATCTATATTTCAAATATCGTGATTTTCGAAATCCGTGAGTTACATTTGTTCATGGGCGACGGTAATCACTTACCATCAGATGAGCCTCCTGCTCGTTTGCCCCTTTTCTTCGTTAAAAAAAAACTTTTTATTGATAACGCTATAACGTTACGCGTGAAAAGTTACTAAACAAGAAAACAAAAGAAATCAGAGGAGAAAAATACTGAACTGCATCGACTTTACCTATATATATTTAGATACATTATAGTTGTCACTTTAGCCCAATGCATTGGTAAAGGTGCCGCGTATGCAAAGCCGGCATTTGCATTCAAGACGGCCTGCAGGAAGGATATGGACGATTTGCCAGCGATTCTAAACTTTGCACGTAGCGTCGCGCTATCTTTCGTCGACAATTTGTACAAAGATGCGCGAAATTGTTCGATCATGCATTTTATTTGGCGTACAAAGTTATAAGTGTACAAGTGATTGTTATTTATTTATTTATTCAGACTTTATGCACAAACTAATACAAAGGCGGACTTTGCCTACCAGTAAACCTTAGGGCGGTGTAGAGAAAGTGAGGGGCACAGAGTTGTTATTGTTACTGAATTGTATAAAAAAACTTTTTCTCATTTATCCCATTTAACAGATATTGTGCTATTATTTTTCTAATTGTTCTCTTTTTAAATAAATAGAATGTTTGTATCTTTGTCCTTTGTACTTTACTAAATCTTAGCTCGCCAAAGTTGTTATTGACTTCTCACTGATTGTTCTGCATTTCGGGTGCAAAAATAATTTTATAATTTACCATCACGTTAACTTGAGCGAACCAAAAGTCGGTCGTTTGGCAACTTTATTTGGCAATTATATATGGTATGGTATTAGGGGATTTGTCCTTCCCTACTTTGAACAATAGTTATTAATTTAGGAATTATACAGCATACAGTGACCGACTTGTGCATTCGCTCGCTATTATTATGCGACTGAATCTATTTACACCTATTGCCGTAATTTGAGTGCCTCAGTTTTGGCGCGCTAGTGTCATGTGTCATATCTACCTCGTATTTTTTTATATAATGTCACTGGCAATGTTACCGCGCAATTTACGTCAGGTTCACTTGAAAGATGACGAGACAGTTTCTTATTTGAATGAACAGTTAGTTCTCTCTCAATCTAACAGTATTTAGAAGACAACGTTTATCTACTGCTCTACTGGAACAAATGATGGAACAAATTGGAACGTAATGATGCGTGTCCAAACTGTCAGAGAATGTCCATCGTTCATCAATAATAGAATGACAATTTATAAAATTATCGTTGTGACTTATGAAGGTATGTAAGTCTGTTTGGTAATTAGTTTCTGCTCATTTTTACCTGAATACCGAGATTCCTAGTATACATTCCGAGCATATGTGTATGTCTCTATGTAAATTTATTTGACACACCTTCGCGTTTGAAAGGTTTTTCTCAGTATAAAGTGTCAATAGATCTGTTCTTACTGTAGATGTAGTAGGTTAATATTAAAGATCATATTTAAATATTTTTTTAAGCCATCAATAGTATCTTAATATTAAAACTGCGAAGTTCTTCTAATACTAGATAATAATAATTATAATTCTCGAAAACGAATTGCACAGATAAATTATGCAAGTATTCATAGAGTGTAATAGAATAGTAAGTGTCTTTTTTTCCATTTTACTTCTACACAAATAGTATCGTCTAATGTGATCTCCAGAGGTATCTAATTTGTGGTAGATAGGTTTTTTCCCAATGAAGTTACTTATTTTTTTAATTGTGCAGCAACATATTTCATATATACAAATATGAAACATATTCATAATATTTTTTATACCTTCTCCATTTTTTCTTGTTCTAATGTAAAATTACTATATTCATTTCTGGCGCCAGCGATAACAATTCGATTGTTAACAAATGCATCGTCGATATGGACGCTAAACTGTATTATTTATCTGTGGACAGCGTAACAGTTCAATCGCGATTACAGTTATGGCGGGAACAAGTGACAACACGCGTCCCGCCGATAGTGTGGCCAATGTGACAGAATTTTAAAAAGGTTTGATACATTGTTGTGACGAGTTCTATCATAGTCTCGTAATAAGGTCTTGAAATAAAGAAAATATTTTTATACGGTAAGAGAAATGTAGTTTATTTCATTCACTCAATACAAGCCACATTTATCCAGTCATTTATTCATATATTTTATGTTTATTTCATTTTGCAAGTTACTTGCTTTGAAGCCGCCATAGTTTTGTAATAAAAGGAAACAAAAATGTCACGACTTAAAAACTTAATTTACTCAAGGCATCAATTTATTTTTAATTTCTTCTCAATCAAAGCTCATGCAAGAGCAGATATTTATGTGTTTTAATTTTGTTGTTATGTTAAAAGATTTGATCAGATTTGCCCAGGTCGTCACTCCATCTAGTCTATCCTACAGACTACCACTAAGCCACCTGCATCCATCGGCTTCCCGCAGATTTGGTTACTCTATCTTACTAGATACATCGTCTGGCGTCTTACACTGCGATGTCCAATACGAGGCTGCCACTCTTCCTATGACCTATACGGTAGGCACATCGCTACTTCAGCTTACCAACCTTTTGACCTACGTCGATTACTTTGACGATATGTACGATGTTTTCTATTAGCAATATTTGCATTTGAATTCTCGCAGACAAATGTCGGGAACAGCCCGCTGCATAGCTCATATAGTAACGCCATGTAGTGTACACTATTTTATGGACATCACTACATAGTATAAAACAAAGTCGTCCGGCTGTCTGTCTGTCCTTATGTATGCTTAGATCTTTAAAACTATGCAACTGATCTTGACGCGGTTTTTTTTTTTACTAGATAGAGTGGTTTAAGTCAATTCAATTTCATCGTGAGGAAGATTCATCTTATCCCTTAAACGAGCAATTCTTGTGTATATATATATATATATATATATATATACTATTATTACTACTAGGTTTCATTTTTAGAAAATGTCCTTTTATCCCTGTTTTCAGGGAATGAAAAATATCATTAGAATATGACAGTAAATTTAGCCGCAAAAAAAAATGTTATAATAGCTCGGTCGGTAATCGGGCGGCCTCGAAGAAGGCCGTGGTTCGTCTCACGATCATTTACACACTTATTTTTTTTTTACCCAAACCCGTGGGTTCTGGCTAGCCCACCGGTTCTGCGTCAGATGAAGCTTTAATAGTCTCGGGACTGAAAGCAAAAACATCAGTTAATACAAGATACTTATTTTTTACTTTTTTTTCGATTCCCGATTATTGCTTTCTTTAGTTTTTATTTTTTGTCCATCCAGATGATTTTATTCTTTTTTTCCTTATTTAAAGTTCTTTCTTTTGTGAAAAACACCAGTTCATATTTTCTTATTATTACGTCGGTAAGATCGAAAAATATTATGCATATTTCATTAGATACTCAGTAATTTGTATCTAAATGTAATTTCCAAAATACACGATTTACCAAAAAAAAACAAACCGAGGAACGCTCGGTCCTCCAGGTACTATGTATAATACACGGTATCCGTGCGAAACCGGGGCGGGTCACTAGTATCCTATATATAGAAATATCACTACTTATCTATAAACTCCATTGTTTTAACCTTGAGTCTGTCCTAGTTGGCTGACATGTATTTACCATGAGGTATAGAATAGACTTTCTCCGTGTTTCAATCTCAACACTTCTCATTGGCTATGGAAATACGTGAGCTTGAGAGCGAATGATTGAAATGGCTGATCGAATATTGTCTGTTGAATATTCGATGCGTTGATTCCACTGCAATATATTAATGAATTCCTCTTGGTTATGAAGCGATATACAGGGTTATAGGTGATCCGACGTATTCCCGTTAGGAGGTGATAGGGGTAGTATAACCAGTGTTTAATCTATTTTATAAATCAGAAGAAAAAATTAGATGTATCTATATATTTATACTTTTTTTTAATAAATTTTTGATGTTGCATTTATGCTTTACTTATTTTGAAAAAAAGTTAAAAAATATGATAACTCAAAAATGGTTCATTTTGTATAATGCAAATAGCATTATCGCAAAAAGTCACTCCTATCACCTCCTAACGGGAATACGTCGAATTATCAATAACCATGTATGCCACGATTGTAAAAATTGTAATTATTATTGTCTTCTCAATGAACTTTCTAGAGCATTCTAATGCGCTCGTCTAAGTAATAAGGAGAGTTTCGTTAAAACGCATGCCTAAGTCGTATGTTGACGGTTTAAATGTACTATTAAATAGGGGCAGAGACAAGACATTAAGTAGTTTCCGTATCAAGTTACCTTCTAGACTGGGGACCATGAACGCTGTAAAGAGTTCGAAATAACAGAAAATGCACAATCGCATAAATGCACGAAATTTTCAGCTTGTATTCGAAAGCAACTAAGACTAATGCATAAAAGTAAAATATCTTATTTGTCTGTATCTTAAATACAAGCATAAATATCGTTTACTCGACTTAGATTATCAATAGATGGCGCTATAGTGTTATAGAAAGTTTCTAAACTAAATTTTATTAGCGAAATTAACAAATATGGCACTTATGTTATTTTTTACATTTGGTTATTTTTTATCAGAAGCGGGAATATAATCTTCGAAATGGTATAGCGTTCAAACAAAAACTACTTTAGAGAAATAATGTATAAGATGTGTCAAAAATACTTAATAATTGTGTTATTAAATATAAATCACAACAATATTTGACAAAATTGGCTTTCCAAGGAATAAAGATTATTGATTATTATGGTATAATTAATGGTCATTACATTTACAAGCTTTACTCATATTATTTCCATTTTATAAATATTTTTTGCAAAATTGTGTATAAACATAAAACGAATAAAATATTGAAAATTGACAGTGAAATATTGCTATTGAAATATTCATGAAAAAAATATTTGATCAAGACCGCTGTAGCAATTAAAAGCAGACCCTTGAATCATGACGTTTTATGCAAATTCGCAATTCATTGCAGCTTTATTTTTTCCCACACTTTGATAGGTGAAGTAATGTCAGAATACGTTATTGATCTTGCTAAAGAAAATGATAATTCTTTTATAGTAACGAGCCACAAGGAAAACGCCGCTAAACTTTTTGTATTTAGAGTCAATGTAATTAACAATGTAATTAAGTAAAAGATGACATTAGGGCGCCGAAATTGAGGCACCAAAATTACACCAATTGGTGTAATTAGATTGCAATTCTATAGACTGCTATCTCTTTCCATATCATGCGTTCTATATCATCTGTCATAGTTACTTATATTTATTTATGTCATATAATGAAGAGCGGAACAATATTTAACAATTTTTAACGCCACGCGGTATGGACATGCGTTATCTATATTATGAAACATCATTATTTAGGGTGGTATTTGAATGGGGTATTATTGTAAATACTGCACAAGCTGTGTGCATTCGCGTACGATGCAATTCATGTTTCGTGCTATCTTCAGTGATATCGCGAGTTTCCTTGTTCGTTCTTGTACAGTTGTGGAAACAATTCACATGTGTAACGAGTAGAATGTAATTTAAAAAACAAAAAACACGACTGCGTTTTTTGTGTAGTTATTTATTTTGATATACCCAGTGTCACTCTCACAGTAAATACGAATCTAGCGACACCTCTCAAGCTAAGATCCATCAAGCCGTTCAGGCTGCAGAGCGTGCCAAACAATTATACATACATACATACTCTCGAAAAACATAACCCTCATTAAAAAAAGTCTACTACGAAAGTCTAAGACTTCCCTAATTAAATTTAATTTGTCGTCTCTTGATTAGTCAGATGATATAATCGACACGTCCGATTTATATAATGGAAATTGATAAATTTTTAAGCTAAAATTGCAGATGTTTATTTCAACCCACGCACACTTCAAAGGCACGATTCGGTTTTAGGTTTCTTGAAAATCGCAATTCCGTATTAGTTTGCGGGAAATCCCGTCTTGTGATCTCATGCATTCATGCGTCAGGCGTGTCTTGCCAATTGAGGGATCACGCGTTGCCAACGTATGATTGAATAACTATAAAAATAATGTTGTATGTATCTATCTCTACCTTTACATCTGTACATATAGATGCCTATGTATAGGTACGTATATTTATTTATATGTATCTATGTGTATAGATAGAAGGTCTATCGATGCGCACGAGTCTAGGAAAATCTGCTGGATAGATTTCAATAAATTATTCTAATTTCACGTTTCACAAATGTCATTGGTGGCGTTAATACTGCTTTCAACCACGTGCCATAAGATAACAATCAAATCTTATATTACCGTAGAGTTATATGTGGCGTAGAACTCTATGGTGTAAGACACCGTCGGTTTTGAATATAATAAGCGACGCGGAGGAAGTCGCGGGTCAGCTAGTAATAAAAAAAATAAAAAAAAGAAGTTACAAGAACGAAATGATGAATGATGATTGTTTTGGCTTTTAATGACAGATTAACTAAAGAGTTAGATCTTCTTCAAGGATTACCACTGAACATTGATTTGCTGAGTGTAGCCATCTACGAGCAGCCATCTCCGTTATTGTGGTCCAAGTCGAAGTTCGAACTTAAAACCCTTTTTTTAATGTGAGAAGGTGGCAAACGAGCCGGCGGTTCACCAGATGTTTAGTGAGTTTAGTGAGTAGACTCATCAGACGGTTCGTTCACCCCCGGATTCTGTCCGGAGAGGAATCCGTCAAAGCCGGGCTAACAGCAAACTACCTTGAATTTAAGTTTTATATTCCTAATCTCTCAACTTAAGATGAAACTCTAAAAGTTGAAGAAAAAACGGCAACAAGTTTCAGGTTGATGGGAATCGAACCCTCGTCTTCCGGATCCACATCCAGATACTTTGACTACTAAGCTAAATGGCTGATTGCTACCCCGACGAAAATCTCAACGTCTTTCATCTACATTGTTTTCTCGCATTTAAAGCGATGCTTGGTGCATACATACAATTTCAAATATCATTTTACAACTATTAAACATTTCGTATTTCTGCTGACTGAGGTAACCTGGGCCCACTTTTACACTTAACATCAGGTGAACAACCTGTTACATGTTAAATGTTTGCCGTAGCGTGTAGACTGTTCGTATTATTTTTACTTTAAAATGACATAACAGTTTTCTTCGCGACTGTACAATGGATTGCTAATGCATTCATAAGGTTTATCCCTATCTTTATGTTCGACCTATCAAAACTGCATCGCATCTTGATCATCGAAACGTGCCAGCGTTTAACCGACCCTGCTGCTACGTTTATACAATTTAATTTAGCTTGCCACTCCACCGTACCTCAGGTTAGTTAGTGGATCGATTTATGGACCCCGCCCAATGGTTTTAATCGAGCACGGGCTTACGTTTCGTAATGAATGTCTTTATTATTCGATCCGAATGTGGCAAGATACGAATAAGGCTTTTGTAACGAGACTGTACTTGATTAGCAAGTGCAAACAGTCAGTTATAACCGAACGGTGTTTTTATCAAGTTTCGTTATTTAAGTAACTCAACTGTTAAATCTGGTAGGTCAGACTTGTCCCTACATTTTTTTGGAGCAATGTCAGTATTAAGCATTATAACATGAGTGTTGTAGGTTAAGTAAATTTGTATGATATTTATAAACGTATTACTACTATTTTTTTTTACTGCCCTTACTTTAGTGTAACTATATCCTGTGTTGTAAGAAATTTTTACTAACATAAATTTCAACAGCCAGATGCGGGACAACTATTTGTGGGGCACACAAATAGCTGTCCCGTGTGGGAATTGAACCCGCGACCCTCGACCCCACCTTGGCAACTGCACCACTCTCTCATATTTAAACGCTTATTGTGGTAGAAAAGTATCGTGGTAACCAAAGATCGTTGCTTCTGCAGTCGCAGTTGAGTTAGTCTGCTTATATAAAATGGCTATTTGTATAATTATAATATGATATCGCTAAACTTTAATATTATTTTATCGATCGCCACGAAAATTCACATGTACATATACTTTTTCATTGAGAAGGTTTTTGTCCCGACGGATAGCGCAACAATATATACTTCATAACGTTCCACCGATCACAACGAATACTGACTATGTGTATGGTACTAATAAATAATACTTTAAACAGAAGACCACTTGGTTTTCCAAACCCACTAATATAAAATGATATATTATCATTTACAAATTTACTTTTCCACTTTACATTACAAATTTACTTTACAATTCCACTTGGGGCATTTCTGCTGATTAACCACGCTCTAGGCTCCGGTATATGACACGACAAGACTGGAAAAACACGGAAACTAACAGCGGTGTCAACTTTAGGAATTTCAATGAAAAGCAACAAGTATTCAGTGATTTTATTTTCTTTTTAGGGACAAGTTATTAACGAGAGGAAAACTTAACACGAACAGAATAAAAACAGATTAATGTACTAACGAATGTCAATCGCATATTATACAATTCTGTTTATTTAAGCCAACAAGTCAATTCCGAAGAAGGACCAATTCCAAGGGATTATAATTAAATAAGGCCAAACACACTAATAATGCAAATGCATAAATTTATCATATAGTGAGTTTAATTTCTCCTTTCTTTACAAATGCTAAATGGATTAGAATTAATTCATGGAAAACAGAAAAGTGAATATTACAAATATATAAAAAATATAATAACTGTTTAACCGCGCTATGACGCTCATAGCGCGGTTAAATGGTTTTAAAAGTTAAAAACAACTTGGTAACTGTTCCCTTATCTCTTCATCACAGTTTACTGTTACAGTCTAACTGAACACACAACGAATATCCTAGACGGTTAGATAATACCTCAAGCGTTATTTCGTTACAACAAGATTTATGTGAGATAGAGAAAAGAGTTTAAAATAAAATAACGGATTTTAACGATTGTACGGATGTTTCAGTGTGTCGTCATTGAGGCACCATAGCTTCAATCAACTCATGTCGGGGTCCTCGATTGTAACGTGTACATTGAAACACAAACATGTTATCAGTGGTTAGTTCTTTTGCTTTGAGGCGGTCTTATTTGAACGTTGGTCGGGTGGCGTGAACCGGTCGTCGAGATCGCTGTCCTCTTTCTTATCCGGCATCTCTTTCTCCTTCTTGCCCTTCCCGCCTTTGTCCTTCCCTTTCTCCTTCTTCTTGCCCCTCGGCCTCCCCATCTTGCCCAGCTCCTCGTCGTAGCCTACGAACTCGTCGGAGTCCGTGTCCGAGGAGCTTGAATCGTCCACGACTTCATCCGTGTCCGCTTCCTCGTCCATCGGAGCCGTCCCGTTGTTGCACCAAGCCTCGACAACGATCCTGTACATCTTCTTCACCGTGAGCAACGGTATGCGCAGCTGGAAGAACAACGGCTCCTCAGTGATACAGGTTTTCAATATGCAATGCGTTAACAACGAAATAGCCCTTCAAAGTCAAAATCAAAATATCAAAATCATACAGTTCATCAATATAGGCTTTTAACTTAAGGTCTTAAAAAATACCACCGTTTCACTAAAGTAGACCTGAATAGGGGTCCTTATTTTATGGAAGTAACTAAACCAAGTAACTCTAATTGAAAGGGAAAACTGTAAATTGTGGGACAAAAATATGAGCATAACACTTGAGTATAACACTTGAGCTGGTTGAAACTCAAAAAATATTAAATAATCTTTGGCGTAATAAGAGAAAAATAGCTAAAACTTATCTATTGCAACAAGTACTTTGTTTGTGAAAAAGACGTTAAATAATGTTGTAATTGCCAATTATTTAGTTGTCAAAGTCGAAGTTAGTTGGTTTGGTTGTCTTGGTTGGTATTTTGGATGATATAACGAGATGCTTAAGAGATTCCTGTATGTTATTAACTTATTTTATATATAAAACATTTCCGTGGGAATATGACACGTGTGCCGATTGGAAATACTACCTTCACAGACAGCGTGTTGATGCCCCACACCATCGGGTTCCTGATCTGAAAGGGCATTCCGACCTTCACGCACACTATGTACAAAGAGTACGCCGAGTTGATCTGCGAATGAGGAATTTAAACCAAATACTATTTTAAAATATGTAGATAAAACTAGTGTAGGACGACCCCCACTAGATGGAGTGCCAAGTCGATGGATGCAGGTGTGTGATCTGTGGGGGAGATCCATGCTTAGCAGTGCACTAAAACACGGTGAAATGATAATCGATGATGAGTAGATAAAACTGTGGTAGGGCCTCGCAACAGCTACGGCTGTTGCACGAATGGGCAGGTCACTATTACTTAACATCAGGTGTACCACCAGCTCACTTGCTCGGCTAATCTGGTGAGGCACCAGTGGCACACAGAATACTGGCGTGAAGTGGACGTGTTATACATTTGCGCTTTTGTTTTAGATTTTAGCTTTGACTTTAATTCATCATCAAATTGCATGTTTTTTTCGTAACCTCCGATATTATGCCTTACTTGTTTGGAGAACAGCCGACATAATAGTTCAATACATTCTACAGCACTTTTCACATAAGCTGTCACGTTAAATAATGGCAACAATAATAACAAATCTATAGCGCACACAAGACTCATAGAATGAAGACGTGCTCAAGTAACCATTCAATAATGCTAAACAAATGTGAACAGCAAATGTGCGGGAAGTCGATGGATGCAGGTGGCCCAAGATCGTGCTTCATGGCGGCCTAAAGGGGAGGCTTATGTTCAGCAGTGGACTCGAACAGGCTGAGATGATGATGGTGAAACCCGTACGGTTCACTCAGCGAAGCGGTTCAGTGGCCAATTACTACAAACCTCCAGGTAGTAGGTCAACTGGGCGCCAGATGTTGTGTCGGGGTGGATCTCGAAGATCTCGTGGTAGAATCGGTATATGTCAGCGGCGGCATCGCCCCGGTCGTAGCAGCGGACCCCGCCCAGCCACCAGCGCCCGACCCAGCCTCTGATCCGCTTGGGGAACGTGAACGCACGCGGCATTATGTAACCTGGAGGGCAAAGCTTCCGGTATACAACATCTCTAAAATTGACGACACTGCACATTGTCAAATGAGGCAATTTTAACGGATTCATCGCGTTTATTTTCAAAAAGGCAAAAAACGGAGGAGGTACTCAATTCGACTGTATTTTTGTTCATGTTTGTTACCTCAGAACTTTCGAATGTGTGAACCGATTTTGATGATTCTTTTTTTATTTGAAAGCTGGTGCTTCTTATGTGGTTGCATTTTCATTAACATTGGATCTTGGACTCCGGAGATACGTATGGAATTCCTGAAAATCAATTATAAATGAATGAGGTATTCGAAGTCGGTTTTGGTTTTTGTTAATAAAAAAATGACTTGTTAAAAAGGAAAAATAACGTGAAGTAACAGCCTATTCAAATACCACTGCTGGGCAAAAGCCTCCTCTGGACGGTATTACGGCATTGTCCCCAACGCGACCCCAATATGAAGGCAGATTTCAGAATATTTTTTTCTGGTATAATTTAGAAAACATACGTTTCACAATGTTATTCGATGTTTGGCTGACGTGAAATTAGCACAACTTTGAAGAGACATAATAGACGGAATAATAAAACTGATCACCGAGACGGGTATCGCGAACTAATCCAATTCACCCTGATGAGGACAACATTCGAATACAAATTGGAATTTTGGCAGCTCCTAAAAAACTTTTCTACAATACTTGTACGAAACTCTCATTTAAGTTTGATCTTGAGTTAAGGCTAGCGGTAAAAGTAAAAATTAATCATAAGACGACATTAGAGCATGAAGGTTGCAAGGTATTCGAAACGTCACGTCCAAAATAAAACGCGATAAATCCCGTAAAGTAGCATGTGAGGAAGGCACTGACCGAAGGGATCGTCCTTTGAGAAGGAGCCCACGGGCTTCCCGGAGATGGCGGTGGTGATCCAGGGCACGTAAGGGTGCAGGAGTATGTGGCGGGATGGTGGCATCGGACCACGGGAGCGCAACGGATCCGGGCACGGCGAGCTACCTGAGAATTTTATTTATTTATTTATCTAAGTAGATACAAGCGTAAGTTACAAAACATGTGTTAAAAGAAAGAAAAAGGTAATGAAATTAAGCCATATGCTCATATTGTTAGTAAATTAGGCCGTATGCTCCATTTCAATATGTTACTTCGGATTTGTTTAAATTATACCGATGAGTTCGCGGCGCAGTTACCAAGGCTTTAAAATTATTGGCTTCGAAGCGGTGGTCATGGGTTAGAATCCCACACGTGACAATTGCTTGGGTGACTCACAGATAATTATTAGATATTTTAACTGATTTAGGACCACGCAACAGTATTCGCTGTTGCACGAATGGGCAGTTCCGTCCGGGTTAGTACCACGACCTCACAAAAGGCCGGCCTGAAGTAGAAGTGTTACTACTTACTTAATAAGTAGAAGTGTTACTACTTACGTACTTCTGCGTTTCGTCTGGTGAGTTAGGTAGCTGGGGCCCACTTTATTGAGAGGTAGCAACGCAAATACCCTACGGGTGTTGCGAATGTCCATGGGTGACGGTTATCACTTAATATCAGGTGAACCGCCCGCTCATTTGCTACTTTCTCACATAAAAAAAAACCGTCAAGCCTTTATACCTTCGGAGAGCGCGAAGATGTTCCAATGGCCGGTGTGCTCGTGGATGACACTCGGAGCACCAGATTGTAAGTCGCATCCAGTGGTACAGATGTACCTATTGTCGGGGAGTCTTATCGTTTTCTGAAAGGAAAATATTCATTACCATAGTCAACCCAACACAACAGTTAGGATTGTAGCAAAATTATTCCAAAGTTCATTCAACTCACCACTTCTTTGGAATCTGTCAAACATTGTCTGGTATCGATTTTATGCAAATACAGTACTTCTTTTTCCTCCTCAATGAAATCCCGGGGAACCTCTGTGAAACGAGTAATTTCTCAAAATTGGAATAAACGAAATTTTAGGTAACAATCTTTCCATATCCATTAAGACTTCTAATGCCGTACAAAACCGTAAAAACCGCCGATATCCAGTTATAGGACAATTTTGTCCTTTAGCACTGAACACGTGGTTCACATACTGATGGCAATTAAATTGGTATTACAATATTCAAATACTGATGTATTGTATTTAACAATTTAATTTCAAATTTGGAGGTCAATGAGTTAATTTCGGGTTCTCGAAGTGATTTGAATAGACAATCTATCACGGATCTATTTATAATATTTTACATTCAACGTGGCAGAGTCAAGCAGTGGTTTCTTTTGTTACAAATGGGCAAGCTCGACCGGGGAAATGCAAAGGCCATATAGAAGGCCGGCGTGAATTGGAACTTTCATTCTTTTGCGTGAGTATGGTTTCTACCGCGTTCCTAAAATTTCTCAACGTATTTGAAACCACACAAGTGTTGTAGATGTCTTTCGGTGGAGGGAATCCCTTAACACCAGAACCTACTGGTTGCTTTCCGCTTTCTAACATGACAGTAAACGCTATTGAAATCTTCAGTTGGGAATTCAGATAGTATAATTCTCTAGCTATGGCTAACTTCAAATAAAATTAATATTGAAATAAAACTCACCACTGATAAAATCCACATAAATTATTAATCCATTGACTTCTTTCCCGTTTCTCGATATAAAGTTCTTGTAAGGTAAGCACGCTGGCAGCATATACCCTGAGAATACGTAGAAAATAGGCTGATATTTTTTTTTATTTGAGAAAGTGGCAAACTATCTGGTGGTTCACCTGATGTTAAGTGATAACTGCCGCCTATGGACATTTGCAACACCTTTAGAGTTGCAGATGATACTTAAACAGAATGGAATAAATGACTATTTATTATCATCGCGACTCTATATCCTGGGTCTTCATTTATTGTTTTTGTTAAGATTTTGTTGTCCGAGTTTATATTAATGTTGTAAAGTGATAAATGTTCGTTTGTTTACATGTAATTATTTATAAATACTATATTTATACTTATATTTGATTTTTTTCTATGTAAGAAAATGGCAAACGAGCTGGCGGGTTACCTGGCGTTATGTGATAACCACCGCCAGTGGCCATTTCCTTGCCAATGGGCGGGCTTTTGCCTAATAGCATTCTCTACTAGTCAACCCTTGTCATGGTGAAAAGTAAATGGCGGCTGCTAAATGGAGACTAAAAATGAAAGTTCACAAATGTGCTCTCACATAAAATAGTTACTTATATGTAAGTATACATAGTTTTATTAATATGCAAATATATAAATATACATAGAAGTAAATTCACAAGCAATATATAATAACAAATATATATACGGATGATAAAAAAATTTTTTGAAGATATGTGAAGTCCGCCAATCCGCAGTGGGGCCGCGTGGTGGACTGTGCCCTTATACCCTCGGTACAGAGGAGGCCTTTGCCCAGCAGTGGGACACGAATTGAATGAGTAAAATTGTCCTAATGCTCACTAGATTTGACGGGCGTCAGCAGTTTTAGCAGCGCGACGCTGGTCTTGATTCCGAAGTGCTTGTACTCAGGGTGTAGGAGCACGTCCGCTATGGGCATCAGGAGTACCGCCGGGTCGCATCGGTGACCTTCAGCGATGTCCTCCAGCGAGACCTTGCACTCGTTCTCGTCCCTTTCGTATTCCCCGAACACCACGTTGCCCCTGAACGATGTATTTATTTATTTAATTATCGATTTATTTCATTATATGATTATATATTTATTGATTTATTTATGTATCTATTTATTTATCCTTTATACACAAAAAGACAAAGGCTGACTTAATGCTAAAGGTATTATCCCCCAGTCAACCTTTACAGAGAAGATTAGGTACATGCACAGAAAGATACAAAACGATAACTGATAATTAAAAGCTACAGATCTTATATTATGCGTACGATTTGACGATAGTTTATTTTTTTTACGTGAAAAATTGGCAAACGTTCTGGCGGATCAACAAATTTTAAATGATGACCGCCGCCTATGGACATTAGCAACACCTTACAATAAAGTGGGCCCCGGCTGTCTCGCTCAGCAGGCGAAACGCAGAAGTATGACACTTCCACGCCACGCCGTTGAGGTCGTGGTACTTCCCCGGACGGACCTACCCATTCGAGCAACAGCGAAGACTGTTGCGCTGCCCTACCACAGACGGAATTATAATTTTTTGTAGATAAATGAACAAAAACTTTCGGCGCTGTGCGACTCGAACAACGCCTTCTGGTACCGCGCCACAAGCTAATCGTTTAATATAAAGAAATGGGCGCGTGTACTTATGTACGCGCGTGACAAGTTATACTTCTTTGGCATCATTAAGAAATAGTTTTTAATGCATGCAAATAATGAATTACAATAAAACAATTAAAAGACTGGAAAAGGATTTAAATAATAAAAATAATAAAATTATGAAAGCGCCGTCTATATTCTTTATTGACGGACAACTGTGATTGAGAATATATAAAAATAAGCGGTTTAGCGGGCAGCTTCCAAGGTGTTACTTTTGTGTTACAGTGATGCACTATACAGTGATTAGACTCGCATCATTTTTTCATGACGCGCCTAAAGAAGTGTAACTTAAAAAAGCTGAGAGAGAAAAATTGTTAGTTGATGTGAAAAGTTCGAAGGAGCATCTCACAGCGCGTATCCGTCAGGAACCTGTGCAGCATCCTTCGCTGTCGAGATCGCGAACTGCCTGGCGATGAGGGAGGCACGCGGCACTCTGAAATAGTGGGGAGTGCCCTCTTTCACTGCAATAGAAAAACATTACCGGGTTATTAGTCTTAGAATTGAATTAGAAATTCAGCGAATCGTCATTGGGCTTACTTATCGGCAATGTTTGAACAACTTGCCTTGTCATGATTTTATACATTGTTTTCGTAATAAGGGTAGATTTTCTAAGTCAATGGCTAAAAGCTGTCGTATCAGAACTAAAGGTACTAACGGCGGTAACTTACTTACGAACTTGTGTATTAATTGTGTAAAATTCGACGTTTCATGAGAACGTCCGATTACAACGTGCTAGCCTAGTCCGGGCTAGCGCGCTTACCACCAACGGCTGCAACGCCACTCATCAGGTGGGATGGCAGTCAAGTGCTGGCCAGTTTTGAATTACAAAAAATAATAATAAAACGCGCAAACGTCTATTTGATTAAAGACATTTTGCATTTGAAATATGTTCCGGTGTATTTAAATGGAAGGCTTACCGTGGATGTACTGCAGAGCCCCCAGCCAGCTGAACTGGAGGTCCGTCAAGGGTCCCTCCTCGGGCTCGAATGAGGGGTCATCGTGGCAGTCGAAGCTTTGGCACACGGCGAAAGGGAGACCTTAGAATTGGTTGAACGCATCAGTCAGCTTTCTAATGTGTTTCTCATACTTTTTAAGTTTAAGAAAAAAAGGCCAAGTGCGAGTCGGACTAGCGCACGAAGGGTTTCCGTACCATTGTTCATATAAAAATAATGTCTGCTGTATGGGATCACTTAATTTTTTTTATTCTGTTTTGTAGTATCTGTTGTTATAGGGGCAACAGAAATACATCATCTGTGAAAATTTCAACTGTCTTACTATCATGGTTCATGAGATACAGCCTGGTGACAGGCGGACAGACAGACAGCGCAGTCTTAGTAATCGGGTCCCGTTTTACCCTTTGGGTACGGAACCAAAAAAAAATTATTTTGACCTCATTTATTTAATTAAACACAATTATAAGCTATCAAAAGTGTGTCACGCTATTTCTTATTATGATGTTAACGACTAAAATTTAGTGCTATATTTAAATTCAGACATTTGCATCTTATATCCACGTCATATCATTATTATAAAATCTTAATTTTGTTCATTTTAGATAGAAACTCAAACTAAATTTACGGCCTGTCACCAAATTTATTTTGAAAAAATTGAAGAAAAACTTATATAAAAAAATCAATAATTGGATTAATAAGGGTATTTTAGTTTGGAGGTTAAGCTGTAAAGATGTCTGCTGTGTACCTGTTTTTATTTTATTCAAACACAAATTGTGTAAAACGAATCTTCGTCATCATTTTCTTATACCCCAGAATAAGCAGTACAACGAATGTGTTATTAAAAACGAAATTATTTAGCGATAGCAGATACCTTTGGAGCAAAACTTATAAATTTAATTAATACGTAGAATGTTAATGTGATAAAAATGTTATCGAAATTTTCTTTAACTTTTAGTTAATCTGATGATATTTTACTAGTTTTTAAAATGACATTTTTGTTTTATTGTATTTATGATAGTCGTAGTAGTACTTGTAATAATTATTGAGTTATCGTACATTTGTCTCTATGTACATGCTGTAACTAACTATCTTTACGAGGAATCATGTTAATGTTAGTCCCTATGACTATTGTCATAATTATTTACAAAACAACATGTTATTCCGTTGATAGTTCTTTACAATAGATTAATAAATAAATAATGAATAAATAAACAAAGTAAAAAATATCAACTTACCGTTAAAGACACTGAGAAGAAAAAAGATATTTCCATACATTTGACACCTCGATGTCACTCATTAAACTCCTCCACAAACTATACTAAACTCATAACTGTTTACGTCTGTCTATTTTGCTTATTCGGACAAGAATGCATTGTTTGCAGCCACACGATGTTTGCGCATAAGACGTAGGAATTGTGGCTATGTGTTGTTCTTGATTGAAATTGTTGCACTTGATATGATAAATCAATAATCGTTTATTTAATTTTGCTTTTCATCTGTCCGTTTGGACCTCTTTTTCTAAGGGTCGATTACAGGTATCGAGTCGAAATCTACATTAAACACTTAGCAAAACAAAACTTTTATCTTGTAGAGAACTAAAGTTTCTAAAACATATTATTTAACGATACGGCCATTTGTATTTGTCGTATAAACACGATAATTGGTCCTTACACGATAATTCAGTCATCAAAACCTCGATAAAAACCGTAAAGAAGTTTTATTGAAATGTTTAGCGTTCTCGAAAATTTAAGAAATCATTCTGAGTCGAAAATTATACTAAAGCATAACTAAAAGTATCCTTTCGTTCTCGACAAGTTGAAAGACCTTTGCTGAATTCTAATTTAAATTTTGTTTCGAAAACAAAAACTAAAGTTACTCACGGCCAGACGTCTTGAGCAAACATTTCCACGAAGATTTTTTACATCAATGACACCTTTCGCGCTCTCGCATTAGTCTTATTCTTGGCCCCAACTAAGCCGTTCCTTTCGGCTTTCAATTAAAAAAAAAAACTTTGACAGCTCTGTTATCTGTTCAAACAGGGAAACATTCACAATCTGGGCACTCCCGCTAACAAAACGGGATCGGGTTACGCTTCTGAAATCCTACACCGGCGTTAACGGATTCTGGACTGACATCGCGGGATATTAAGAAAATATAATCTGGTTGGCTCGAGACTGTTTTTGATCGTAACAGATTTGTATTCAAAATAGGTGCGGACTGTTTCACACGGACTGAACACCCGATTGGTGGTTTCTTTGCGGCCGATTTACGAGATTTCAGGAGCTTCCGGCGAAGTACCAGGGCCTGATAGAAGACGAGCGTGATGTGGGAGTTTAATGCTTACGGGTTTCATTTCGGGTATGACAGGTTTAAAACTAAAAAAATATCTTGAATGTCTAACGGCCGTTTCCCTTGCCCAATTTTCACATAAAAATACTTGTACTCTGTACCAACAACTTATTTGGACTTCTTACATCTTAGTGAAGGTGAGAATTAAGATAACTTCATGACAGCTCTTGGTTCCAGTCCATCTTTCAGTTCACCTTACCCTTTCCTATCGTCTGGTTAACTCTTTTGGTAGTTAGTAAAACTCACACCAGTTGAACTAATTAGTCAGCTTACTCCCTTGAAATAAACAGAAAAGCTTTAATAAATAATAAAATAAAAAAATAAAATAAAATAGAAAATAAAAGCCTTAAAGTACCTAAAGTCGTTTGAAGAAAAACCCAACCATCACCCTTATGATTGAAGGCTGCAGGAAGTTTGAGCTTCTCTTGACTAAAAAGCTGCAAGTGGATGTCCACAACACCCATAAATGTGGTGGTGTTGTCAAGCAATGAGAGTTCGAGACGTCAATTAACTGACAAAATCCAATGTAAAGTTGAACTTCTTCAACGTAAACTTCAATGTAAAAGCTCCAATGTAAACTTGCTAATTCAGCCACTCACCAACAAGCGAAGCCCATACTTTCTGCAGTCTTCAATCATCTATCTAAAAGGACAACGTGGATTTATTTCTGTGGAAGAGGCAATCTTGAAATAGGCTTACCTGGTTATAAGCGAAATGTACATCTGGAACACGAGAGGAGCATTGACAGCATAAGACATGAACGTGCTCTATTCTTAATGTCCCTAAGTTATTTCCTTCTGAATCTGTAATCTCGCAAAGTGGTGGAACGCGACAGATAATTTTATCTGCAAGTCGGCCATCTAATTTTGTTACTGCGAAGATACTTGTCATGAAGCTAGTGCCTTTGAAGTGTTAGTTATATCGGACAAGACCAAACCATTTAAAAACACCGTCTCACCAGCAATAACACGACTGTGCGGTTGTTTCGGTCAACGGGACTGTTTATTTGGTCTGACGAGCGAAGAACATGAGAAGGGCTGTCTCCGCTCTGTTTTGAATAACAACGAATGCATGTTTAAAATTACAATAAAACAGACTTCGTTGTGGCAAGCAAAACGACTGACGGTTGACCTGAATTTCGTGAGAGCTATAAGCGGAATGCCGATACATCGACATTTCACCGTGTACTGGCTTTGCAAGCTTATTGATGTTCTTATATGAAATTATTTTTACGGATTTGCGGACATAATCGGAGCCATCCGAGAGCTCAGTGTCCGGGCGTTCGCTTTTAATTCAATATAGTCGAGCAACTTGGGTTCAAATCCCGGTGAAATTGTCAATCACGTGCTTTGCGGTGATCTATGTCGCGTGGTAGACTACGCCCTAATACCCTCTTTTTAGAGGAGGGCCTTGCCCAGCTGTGGGACTTGTATAGGCTGTTACTTTACGGACATACTGTCCTGTGACCACGAATAGTGTAAAGCATTCGAAACGTCTGGAATTTAAATTTAAAATGAGCGCGATAAATTATAAAAACCGTTTCATTTAATAACACGTAATGTTCATGGGCGGCGAAAATCACCTAACATCAGGAGAACCGCCTGCACGTTTGTCAACTTAAAAAAAAAAACACAAAAAAGATAGAAACATTTTAGAATATTTTTAATTACAAGAAAAAGCTTTTTAACAAAAAAGAACCGACTTCAAATAAAATGATGTTTGTAACTTTTATATTGTTACATGCAAAGCAATGCATATTTATGCGATAGCAGCAATCACGGTTGATTTCCTGTCATATTTCGAAGAGTTCCGTTGCTATCTTCGAAAATCATCATCAGATCTATACGAAATTTATATGGGACCATTTCGGAATTTTGCAAATCCGGCATTTATGACGAAGTTATATGCCCATATATAAAAAAAAAATATAAACACCTTCTTTTTGAAGTCGATTAAAAATGTCATTACTTATTCTCTTAATATACTATCTGTCGGCCATTATACACTATTTTCTGTCTATATGTATATATTTTTTTTTCTATGTATATACTCTTATTATTTACTAGCAGTGTCCGCGACTTCACCGCGTGGAATTTTAAACAATAATAAAATATCTTTATTCACATAGACGCTTGCGCGTTCTTATGAAACGTCAAAATTTTACAAGAAATTAACACGTTCGTAAGTTACCAAATAAAAATAAATCTAAAATAAAAGTAGCCTAAGTTATTCCTTATTACGTCAGCTATCTGCCAGTGAAAGTCCCGTCCAAACCGGTCCAGCAGTTTCAGTGATTAGCCGGAACAAACAGACAGACAGACAGACAAAAATTTAAAAAAATGTTATTTTGGTATATGTACCGTGTACGTATACATCCATATGCATTTAGTAAAAAGCGGTTACTTTAATATTACAAACAGACACTCCAATTTTATTTGTCTGTATAGATTTAGTACCCCCCGCCGCTTTCTTCTTTTAATGAACCCTCTGCCCTAAGGTTGCCTGGAAGATATCGCTGTTTAAGCGATAAGGCCGCCTGTGCTACCCATGTATCTTGTGGTAATAAATCCTGTATTTCTCTTCGATTTTCCTTAGTTCACTTTCCTGTATTATAAAATTAATTTGAATTTTGTATTTTGAGTAGAATGGTCTTTAATTCGATTGACTTTAACTTTCACTTTCTTTTTCTTTCAGTTCGTAAGCTCATGAGATCTTACGATGCGCTTTAGGTAAGGCCGGGCATGCAAGTTTTTCCTGTCACTATATATCTTATCCATCCAACAGAGTTTGCTTAAAATCAATAGAGTTGCGTCAACATCAGCTATCCCGTGACTGTAGGTGAATGAAGCAAACACACTTGCAAGCGAGCTGATGACTGACATCTCATGCATTTCATTTGAATATGCCCCCCGTCCGAATTAATACATTTCAACGAGGGTGCTAGCGATGGGCGCAAATGTAGGAGCCAGGTGCGTGCCTATGGAAGCTCTATCGACCGGGATTGCTGTAGGGTGTCTATCATTTCGTCACTGAAAGGCAAAATTACTTAGAAAAGGCAAAATTACTTAGGCAAGGCAAAATTACTTAAGAAAGGCGTGTCTGGCTTTTGAGTAATTTTGCCTTTCCATTGACGATTATTTTTTTTTTGTAAAATACCGATGTGTGATGATAGTAATTGATATAGATAATAGTAATAATAAAGCATCCTACATGTATGTATACATTTAGTACAGTTTGCTAAGGTCAATCAATTGACTGATGTCAAACATTTATTGATTTGTTTTAAAAAGTTTTCTTTTTAAAACTTTTTCTTAAATATCTGCTTAAAGTGTATTGAACAGCCACTGTGTAGTTTCCGTAAAATGCACTGAAGGCGAAGACCTTTTAATTTTTTTAATTTAATATTCTTATTAACACAATTTATTTTAAAAGAACAAAATCCCTTGGTTATCTTGAACGCGTCTAGCGAACAGAATTTTAAATACGCTTACTTATACGAATTGAAAGGATTATCATGATTATTTTTAAGTGTACGTAATTTTCTTGTTTTTTTTTATTTTGTAGCTTAAACATATTAATATAAAACTTTACTTATTATTAATCATAATTGGTAGTAGGGCCACACAGCAGCCTCGGCAGTTGCACGAAATATATATATATATATATATATATATATATATATATATATATATATATATATATATATATATATATATTTATTTATATATTTATATATATACAAGAATTGCTCGTTTAAAGGATAAGAGATAATAATAATTGGCGTTATAAGTTTTCACTACGACATAACAATAATTGGGTAGACAACAGTGTTATTAGTCTCAATAATGCTTATAGTTAATGCAATAAAATGAGGAAGGAAGATATTGTATTTTCTATATAGGAAAAATCCAACTATGCTATGAACGTACTAGTGTAATATATACCGTGTAGTACGATAAACAATAAATTATGTCCTATTATACTTTTATAAAAATGATCATTTTATGGTCACTATAAACAAATTAGGGTAGGTCATAATGGCTGGGTACAGCTTCTGTGTGCGCTTTGTAGTCGGCCCTTGAAGGGTACTTCACTAATTGTAGCTTTGTTATTTGTAAGTTGTGCTTGCGCACGCGTTTGCCATTTTGGTTAATAATACTTTTTTATTGTTGTCACGCCATTGGTGAATCTTTGCAGACAGTACTACAATTTTATAATAATAAGGTTTGTTTTCCTTTAACTGTGGCTGTTTGCATATATACAAAAAGAGCTACTGCGCTTTCACGAATTGTATAATTGTTGAAAATGTAACAGTAACTATATTATTATACCTTAGAGACAATAATTTAACCTCTAAAGTTTAATAAAACATTTTACTTGTATATATTGATGAGTCACATAATTGTATTTTTAATATGAAATAGTATAACATACAAATTATAAAGTTTTTTTATAGTGCTAATCTTTGCACTTAAGATTTAACATTAAAACATGTAGAAAAAGTACGAAAAGATTGTCGCCGCTGTGGGAATCGAACCCACGTCTTCGGCATTCGCGGCCTGACGCTCTAGCCACTGAACTAAACGGCTATCAGCCGTACTTTGAAATTAATATATGACCACATGAAAATAAACACATATAGTACGGTTCATAAATAACACAGTTTAGACAGAGAACAAAAATTAAACTGAATTTAGAACCTTCTTTTTTGATGTCGGTAAAGACACGCGGAGTCTTCCGAGAAAAGACATGTGAGTGATTTTCATACATTTTTCTATGGAAAAATGTTTTAATTAAATAATATGCATTTTTAATGTGTTTCGTGTGTATCTTAATGTGGTCCCATATTAATTTCATTGGTATTGAACCCAGGACTTCAGAGGTGCTTAAAAATTAAATAGAAAATGTATAGTGAACAGGATATTTGAACTCGGTTTTGTTTGTTCATTTAAAAATGTGATACTTGTGTAGTGTCGGCTAACGCACTATACTAATGTTTATTTCAATATGGTCGTCAATAGTTGTATGTATTTTATTAATTATTTATTTATATATCTATGTGCAGCTCGTAAAACACGGAAGCGTTAGGAATAGTCACCCATGCCAATGTAATGATTATTGAAATAATAGTCATACCTCAAAGCCTGTTAGATTGTTTTGACTTATTAAGCCCGCGGATATGATAATGAAAAAAGTATTTAAATTCATTTTTAATAAATGTTTTTGCTTCATAACAGTTGGTGAGTGATGCTCAAGAAGGTCTCCTGTTATGTCATTCTCCAGGCGATACGCAAATATAATAAAAAGTTGATTACATCCCCTGTTTTGAGATGCAATTGTACACACATATAATTATCCACAAAGAGCAAATACCCACAGAATCATGCCCTATGGTAGGTATAATTTACTATAGTCTTGCGTTTCTGACACTAATATGGTGGAAAAGTTAACTCGTATCTTCTCCTGCAAAAAACGAACGAATACGGGAATGTTAAGGTGTACACAAAATCATAAAGTAGTAGATATATGACGTCAAGAATTGTCAACCTGTAATAAACAAATCATTTAGTTATTCTTTTCTTTACTATTGGATCTTTTGCGGACTGGTTTTGAATTAAAGAAATCTATAACTTACCCTTTATAGGACGCCACATATGAAACCACTTTAAACCATATTAAATTAATAATGCTGGACTACTACTGGGTTGAGTTTTGGACAAAAAATACCTTAGATACAGTATAATGAATGAAAATCACGACAATTATTCAAAATCTGTTAGCTTTTTTAATTTAAAAATATAAATTACGATGATATAAACGTTTACCGCAAGAAAATAATTGCATCTTCAGACTTTAAAAATAATTTAAAATTTTGCTACGCTCGAAATTACTTTCTACGAGCTTTTTCTCTTTTAGATGTCGAATGAAATTATAACGCCTTAAATTACGTCTCACCACAAGAATTTAATTGGTCAAAAATAAAAATAAAATGTACAACTTCTAAGTAAAATATGCATAAAAGATAATGATTCTTTGTTATGTTTGTTAAAGAAAAGAAAAATGGAAATTAAACTCATTTGTCATTCAGCATAAAACAGATGTCGACGAAGACAAAATAGGTGCTATTTCTTATCCACTATGATGATCATCTCCTATGTATCTGTGCAAAATTAAAAAATAAGGATGTAAACAAGTTCCAAGCGGAGACAAGTGTCAGCGAGATTTAAAACGCTAATTTGTTTTGGCGCGAAACCGACGCGTCATTGACAATTTGGCACATTCGATACGTCGCACTCCCTACTTGACCCATATTTACGGCCTCCGACAATGCTGCAGTGAAACCGGTGCACACCGCGCGATGTATCCGAAGATAGATGTTCAAGCGAAGATGGGTCGAGATAATTTGTCGTTCGGACGAATCATGTTTAGAAAAATGATAGGATAGATAGATGATTTAGGAAAAGAGCGGTGTTCATCACTTTTCATCACGTAAGCTGTGCTTGATGAGAAGTGATCGCCACCGCTCTTGAACTACTCACGAGCTTGTAGTAGCATTATGATATTTTTGAAACCTGCCATATGGGAAGTCCCCCAATCCGCAGTGGAGTCGCCTGGTGGACTATGCAAAAATAACCTCTTTACAGCGAAGGCCTTTGCCCAACAGTGGGGCATATATAGGCTGTTACTTTCCTCGTTTGTATTTTTATAACAGCGTTTCTACTTTTATATCTATAATATTTTTGATCCGATCTGTTTTGAAAAGCGTTTATCTACATTTATTATTGTTAAGGTTGTAATCCAAGATTAGTCAAAGCTTCTGAAACTAAACGTTTATGAACGTTAATTTGAAACGCAAAACAGATGGTTATAAAAAAACTGACGGTAGCCCGGGTTAACTATGACAATCAGACGTTCAACGCTTCAGTCCGTCCCGTCACCATGAACGCTGTAAAGGGTTCGAAACGTTGGGAATTAAAATTAAAAATAAACGCGATAAATCCGTAAAATTAGTTTCATTTATAACAGATGGTTAATTATAACAACTTATGTTGGCTACGTCGAAGTTCAGGAAATCTTCAAGTTGGTGTAGTTTAAAGGTTGTCTCAGAGTTTAAGTTTCATCAAATTACCAATGAGTTAATATGTACAAATATGTTAATAACTCACTGTGGTAATATAATAACGCATTGCGAATTACAACAAGTCTCAGCCCACCTAGAATATTTGAAATATAATGACAAAAATAGCTTGTTAACAAGTATTCGTGTATAAATGAGCAACAGCTTATTTTTCTTATACTGTAGTCACGAAAGAATCTGTTGGTGCAAGAAGTTTGGTAAAACAATAGACCCTTAAACACAACATAAGTTGTCACACTCTATCTTGAGACATATCCCCGGTCGAAAATGCGATGTGGTGCGGCTACCGCCAAAAATCGCGCCAAGCGAATATTAACAACGGGAGCGTTGCGAACGGATGCCCGGCGAAAGTGGGCCGCCTTCTAACCGGGACGCCGTCGGGACCCCTCGCGGCAGAACCGCATCCCAATTTGGACCTTGACACCGGTGCGTAAGCGCGAGGATCGAGTGCGAACGGCGTAAGGCCACAGTTTCCACGGCACAGGCCGTAGCGATTCGGCTGCACGGAATCCGATGCAATCGGACGCTCGCGTTCGCTTAACCCGTTTCGCGATGTGTTACGTGCGACCACGACAACGGGCACGCGCGCGGGGTACAATCGCGTACACAAGGTACACTCGCATACACGAGGCACACACGCGTACGCAACGTACACTCGCAAGCACAATCTACACTCGCGGACAAGAGGTTTCAGCGCTCAATTTCGTCACCGTCAGAGTCGCTTCCGTACATACGGTTTCGGCAAACCTCACAAATCGGATAGCTAAGGTGACAGGATGATCAGAATGTGAAAAGGTTTGTATACACTTACTGAACTACTGCTTGATATGACAGGGCTTATTCTTTTTCAAAATCAAAATCAAAAATAGAAAGAAAGAAAGAAAGAGATTTATTTGACATAAAACAGACTGACGTACACAACAATCACTTAAAGCAATAAAAATTAGACAAAAAAAAAACATGAACATAAAACTTCAGTATGCATATTTTCCCTTTTCAATAAAGTACTCACCATGTCGAATGTTGCAGTGAAACTGCAACGCTGATTTTCAGTAAGGACCAAAAATTGGGGAATACAGTCCCGAGTCCAAAAAAAAAAAACAATACATTTATCAAAAACAAAAGTAAGAAACTAAAATTATAATAAAATAAAACTCATTTCATTTTTTATGCCACCAATCATTTCTCTAGATGTATACGATGTTGGATACGATGAACTTTCTACACGTGTCATTAAGTTAGTCAACAAGAGTGTTTCTCCACATTTAAGTTACATATTTAACTTATGTGTACAAGTTGGTGTTTACCCAGAGGGTCTTAAAACAACTGTTATTAAACCACTTTATAAAAAAAAAGGGTTCGAAAGATGATATAAGCAGCTATAGACCCATTGCCCTTACACCAGTTATATCGAAGATTTTTGAAAAGATTATGCATAAATACCTGAGTAATTATCTCGAAAAAATTTAATCTATTAGTGGATGAACAGAAGGGATTCAGGAAAAAAATAAATCAATTAATAGAGCAATATATGATTTATTAAATTTAATAATCAAAAACATTGATAATAAAATAGATATCTGCGCTCTGTTTTTTAGACATGAGTAAAGCTTTTGACTATGTAGACCACCAAATATTATTGCATAAAGTTGAATATTACGGAATAAGAGGTAATATTTTAAATCTGATTCGGACATACCTGACCAATAGACAACAAGTAACACAAATAACTCGAATCGACATAAAAATGAGAGAAGAAGAAAAAAATTTACACATCTAATTCTCGATATGTTCGGTATGGTGTTCCACAGGGAAGTGTGTTAGGACCATTGTTATTTCTTATTTACATAAATGACTTACCTAAATGTGTTTCACACCCCATGGTTTTCTTTGCCGATGATAGCACAGCTATCATTAAAAGTGTTAAACATGATCTAGAAGACGAATTAAATTTAACACTAACACAAATAATTGAGGAATTGCAAAAAAAATAATTTACAAGTTAATTTGGATAAAACTAAATTTATAAAGTTCTATCAAAGATGTGCAAATGATTTAAATTTAAAAGTAATACACAGAGGAAACAAAATTGAAAAAGTTGACTACACAAAGTTTTTAGGCTTGACAATCGACACTAGATTAACATGGACTTATCAATCGGACATAGTGTGTAACAAAATAAGTAAAGCGGCATATATTCTATGGAAATTGTCTAGCACCTTAAACATTGAATCACTGTTAACTGTATATTATGCCTATGTAGAATCGCATCTTAGATATGGAATCATATTCTGGGGAAATTGCAGCAAGAAAGAAAATATATTCAGGTCACAAAAAAAATGCGTTAGAGCGATGTGTAAATTAAAAACGAGAGAAAGCTGTAAATCTTCTTTTATAAAATATAAAATATTAACCATGCCGTCGTTATACATATTTGAGAGTGCGATGTTTGTAAAAAATAACTTGTCTCTTTTCTCCAAGCCCAACCATGAGCGAAGCAGACGTGACTTACACAAACTTTGTTTACCTAAAACTAATACTAAACTTATGAGCAAGAGTATACTCTGCATGGCACCAAAAATATATAATAGGCTCCCGAAAGAAATGAAGGAATTAAACACAAATCTATTTAAGAAAAAACTACGCGACATGTTAACAGAAAAATGTTATTACAGTATAAACGAATTTATATCAAATTAATAATCTAAACGTATTCAGTGAATTAATAATGTGCAATTTTATCGAATTTTTTATATTTTTTTAGTCATTTAATTATTTGTCATTTTGTTCTCTGTTCTATTATTACTGTTTGTTAACTTACTTTTTTCATAGACATATGTTTTAATATTATTTTAATATTCTGTTATATAATTTTTTCAATTTATTTTATGATTATAATAATTAAGAAATTTGAGAATGTATACTGACAACCTTTAAGCGAACATATCATATTTGCACACCCTACAAAATGGGTAGAATATAGCGATAAAAATTACTGTGTTGTACACCTCATGCCTAACCTATATTTCGCAAATAAATACATTATTATTATTATTATTATTATTAACTCAAATATATTTATTCAGATAGACGCTGGGCTCCGGCTACCTCACTCACCAGACGAAACGCGAAAGTGTTATACTTCCACTTTACGCCGGTCTTCTGTGAGGTCGTGGTACTTACCTGGACGAGCATGCCCATTCGTGCAACAGCCGAGGCTGCCGCGTGGCCCTACCACCGTTAAAATATTGGGACGCAACAGTGAGTTTCAAATTTAAAGCGACACTTTAGGTTTTTTATGTGAGAAGATGACAAGGGAGCTGGCGGTTTGCTAATGTTAAATGATGCAGCCGCCCATTGACGTTTGGGACACCCGAGGGGTTGCACCTGATGCCACCTTTTAATAACGTGTGCCTCGGTTACCTCATTTACTAGACGAAACGCGGAATCATATCATTTTCACGTCACGCCAGTCTTCTGTGAGGTCGTGGTACTTACCCGGACGGACCTGCCCATTCGTGCAACAGCGAACACTGTTGCGTGGCCCTACCACAGTTATCCGTCTAAAGATGTCATTTTATATCAGCTAAAAGGTCTGGTGATAGTACTTTCGATGATCTAATGATTAATTATGTCCTTGTACTAGACCAAAAGTCTCATCTTTTGAAGTAGGTCATAAGTAGCTTTATTGATTCGTAGGGGAGAAGTGGCAAATGAACAAGCGGTTCGCCCGATATTAAGCGATTACCGGCGCCTATGAAAATTGACAACAACCGAGGAGTACAGAAGCGTAACTAACCTATAAGAAGAGCTACGTCACGAGAAGAAACGAGAAGTACATGTACTTCTACTTTACGCTGGTCTTTCGTGATACTTCTTCGGACGAGCCTCTGTCAGAAGATGCTGCGTGACTATACCATTATAAAAGGAATATTAATTTCAAAACTGAAACTTAATCTAAACATTCTGAAGTGATCTGATAAAAAAAGAAAAGAAATGGAAACGGTCGCCCGGGTTAAGTAACATTAGGACATCAAACGTGTTAGTCTTTCCCATAACCATGAGTCCTGTGAAATACGAAACATCTGGAATTTATGTTAAACCTAAACACACACACCTACAAGTGCATATTGTACTAAAAAAAATCAAAAACGTCTGCAAAAATCTCATTCACTAAACATTATCTTTATGATTTTGAGGAGTTATCTGATGTATCCCCGAAGTCCAAGTACTAGAACCAATGAAATAAGTACGGAACCACAAGGAATCCAAACCGAACGCAATGCAAAACGATATAAAATCGGCTCATAACGGAGTTATGGAGTATCAACCATAAAAAAAATACAACTGAATACACAACCCTATTCCTTTTTCGAATTCGATTGAAAATACATTCATCTAATAATTTTCAGTTGCGCAAATATAAGGAATCATTGTATTTTGACTCATTTTTTATTGTCTTAATGCTGGCAAAAGACCTTTGTGCAGAGAGTGTTAAGACGTAGTCACGTGGTTACGTGATTGGTAGACTTTACGTATCATCGTAAGTGACTGAGATTCAAACTGGTTTCTTATTAATGTAGATTATTGAAGACAAATAGCGAAAGTGGAATAATCAGTTTCCCGAACCGTTTGATTTTGGCAAAATTGCTTGCTTGAACAGATTTCCCATGTCAACTTTGAAACGAACACGTTTTCTTGTGTGAATCATACAAATACATCTCTCGTGCGGGAAAAGGAAACGACAGAGAGAAACGAGAAAGAGAAAAACCTCGACTTAGCAACTGCGACTTAGCAATTTACATCAAACGGACAATATTGACATCTCGAAAAGCAATCATAGATATGAAGGTAATTAGAATTTAAATCGACACATTGTTATTGTTATAAGACCAGTTTGATCAGCTTCACAGCGGGAGCGGGGAGGAGATGGACGAAATAAAGCCCTTAATACCGAAGGCGGGAAATAAATTAAGCAACAAAAATGGCGTCTGCATAAACAATAAGCGGCGGAGCAACGCAACGGGGGAGCAATTTGTCAATGTTTGACTGTGGCCTAAACAAACACATAAGGTGGGAGAAAGGCGGGGAGCGATACGTGTTTTATTTTCTGTCTAGTTCCAGTGAAATGACTTATGTGCTTGCCAGCATTAGTGTGGAGCGATCGTTTTTTGTTTGGTTAAATTAAGTTGGATATGACATCTGTCGTGTCGAGAGCTGCCCTTTTTTTGATTAGGCTAAGAAGTCTTAAAAGCTATGGCGACGTCTCTCGTTCGAATTATCGTTGTAAAACGATATTCGAAATTGTTTGAATGCTGGAAAGGATATAAAAATGGATGCGCGAAGCATTGCTTCGAATGCTAAAAACAATGTAGATGAAAGACGCTAAGATTTTCGTCGGTGTGGCGATCAGCCGTTTAGCTTAGTGGCTAAGGCGTCAGGCCGCGAATGCCGAAGACGTGGTTTCAAGCTCTACAGCGGCGACAACCTTAATTTTTCTAAAAATCTTAAGGCTAAGAAGTCATTTAAGAATCCTACTTTCTCTTTAAGTCTACTGAAAGGCGTTGCGGTTTCTGATTTTCTAGTAAATGTGCTGTTATATAATGTATGTCCATGGCAGCTGCCGCATATGGACCTGCCCATTATCACTACTCTCTGCGGAGGCCAACCACTTTTACTTTAATAAATTTATTTCATTACCAAGAAAAAGAAACTGACCTGCCTCTACCCTGCCGTGAATTGAGCCAAGCCTGTTCAATCTTTATTACACACTTCTGTGCGGTACTGCCTTTGAAAGCAAGACTACTTTCTATTCATTTCTAAGTATTTGACGTTTATGTTCCGTCCGAGCGATCCCAGAATCGCAAATAACAACATTGTCCGCCATGACCGGTTAGCAAAGCGTCTGGGAGGCACATTAATTTTCTATAAACGGTCCTTGCACTGTTGCCCGCTCGACATTCCAGAGCTAAGTCAAATAGAGGCATCCGCGTGTAGGTTAGCGCTCACCGGCCACAGGCCGCTTGTACTAGTCTCAGCCAACCTATCGGGGAACAAAACCTTATTACAAAGCGACCTAGTTACGCTACTCAACTTAGGCCCTTCCGTGATAATTGCAGGAGATCTAAACTGCAAACACGGTTCATGGGACATCCACAGCATCCCAAATAACAACGGAAAGCATCTCTTTAGCTTATCCGATAATTTAAACTTTAGCATAGTCGCTCCCACGACTCCCACTAGGTATCCTACGGTGGACAACTACCAACACGCGTCACCGAGTGTCCTAGACATCATGTTATTCAGGGAGGTCTCGCTCGACATCGAGTCGATAGAGACAATCCATGAACTAGATTCAGACCACAGGCCCGTCCTGTGTAAACTGGGCCAGAACGCCGGCGCGGTCCCTCCGACCAAATCCGTAGTTGACTGGCATCGTCTTGAGGTCAAACTCAAGGCCTTGGACCCCCAGGACTTAGTAGACTTACCCGAGACGATAGCTACGTTCGATGACGCAAATCGAGCGATAGCGAGTCTCCGAGAAACTATTACTTCCGCAGTCACAGATTCGGAACGGACGGTGAAACTGTCGGGCGACCGACGGTTTAACTTTCCGCCCGACCTAAGACTGCTAATTAGACAGAAAAATGCAGCCAAACGCGCCTTCGACCGATACCGATCGGAATCGAACGGAACCCTACTTCGACGCCTTCAGCTAGAAGTCAAGGATCGTGTATTGGAACACCGACATACAACGTGGGACACTCTCCTAGAGGACATCGAGCCATCGCACACCGCCTACTGGCGGTTGGCCCGCAGTCTGAAAGCAGACCCCCGCGAATCTCTACCGCCGTTAATTAGACCCAATAGCGCTTCAGTAGCCTTAGATGACTCCGAAAAAGCCGAATGCCTTGCGGACAACTTAGAGCAGCAATGTACGCCATCGCGCGAACACATCGATACAGTCCACCTAACGGAGGTGGACCGCGTAATCGAGACTAGGGCTGCGCTTCCACCGGAAGGAGATCCTTTAAGTTCAGTGACCCCCGAAGAGGTCCAAGATATTATTAAAAATTTAAAAACCGAACTCCGCCCCGGGCCCAGATAATATCAGTAACAAAATTCCAAAAGCTCTCCCTGGGCCGCTTATCTGTTTACTGGCGACCATTTTCAACACTCTACTCTCCAGTTGCTCCTTCCCGGACGACTGGAAACAAGCCACGGTTATCGGCATTCGCAAGCCTAAACCAGCCAACCAGCCCTCTAGTTATCGTCCCATCAGCCTCCTCAGTTGCCTGGGGAAGCTCTACGAGCGGCTCTTATTAAACAGGCTCAAAGAGCACGTATTTTCCAACGGCCTTATGCCCACGGAACAATTCGGCTTTCGAGCTAGACACTCTTGTCCCGACCAGTTATACCGCCTAACGGAGCATATCCTAAAAGGCCTAAACCACCCGAAACATATCAGTACAGGGGCTCTTTTCTTCGATGTCGCAAAGGCATTCGACAAGGTCTGGCACAACGGCTTGCTTTACAAGCTGTACACACTCAAAGTGCCAGATAGGCTCGTACACACCATCCAGGCCTTTTTTTGAATCGCTCTTTTCGATATCGAGTCGAGGGCACCCTCTCCACAAGCCGCCGCCTCACGGCCGGCGTACCACAAGGCTCCTCCCTCTCACCTTTGCTCTTTACGCTCTACACGAGCGACATACCCAAAGACCCCCACGTCAATCTCGCGCTTTTCGCGGATGACACCGCGCTCTTTTATTCAGACCGCAACCTTAGAATATTAACCACTCGACTCCAAAGCGCCGCCGACCGCCTCGGCGATTGGTTCCGCAAAATGGAGAATAGAAACAAATCCCGAAAAGAGTGTGGCGATTCACTTCACACGAAGTACTTACCCGTCACATCTTTATAATGGCCCTCGCCAATGCAGAAAGTTGGGGCAAATATCCCTTTATGGCCAACCGCTCCCCTGGGAGAAAAAGGTCAAATACTTAGGAGTCACTTTCGACTCGCGTATGTCATTTACTACGCACATTAATAACGTTCGTAATAGAGCCGCGTTCGTCTCCGGCCGGCTACACACAATTTAACTAACGCTAAAAGTAAAATGCCCTTAAGGCACAAATTATTATTATATAAGACCTGCGTACGACCTATTATGTCCTACGCATGCATGATCTTCGCCCACACGCACCCTACTCGCTTGTACAAGCTGCAAATAGTACAAAATAAGTTCATCCGCCGTGCAACCGGTGCGCAGTGGTATCAACGCAACGTCGATCTGCACAGCGATTGCAGACTCCCGACGATTCGCGAATATTTTAAAGACCTGACCAAACGGTTCTTCGATAGAGCCGAACATCATCCCAACCCTCTGGTGGTAAGCGCAGCAAATTACCAACCCGACACAAACGCGAACGTCTACAAGCGTCGCCCGCGAAACGTCCTCATCGACCCGGTCGAGGAAGGGGACTTAGATACGCCGGACCCACCGCCGGGGGTCCCGCCGGATAACACTACACCCACAGCTAGTGTAACAACAAACACAATAGTTCGCCCTCGGCTCCGAGCACGGTGAGACCAACACAACGCGTACACAAGGTACACCCGCGTTCCAGGGCGGTTCTCACCGCCCCCAGCCACCGATTAGCTAAAAACACAGTCGACGGCCATCGGGGTCTCGGTCCGCACCGCAACTTCGATGGCCCTTAGATGACATGTCGTAGTTAAACGCACGCATGAGCACATGCGCGGCCCTACCCACAGCGGAGGGCCCAAACCCGTGGGTTCTGGCTAGCCCACCGGTTCTGCGTCAGATGAAGCTTTAATAGTCTCGGGACTGAAAGCAAAAACATCAGTTAATACAAGATAATACAAGACGTTCCGTCCGATTCAATGGACTCGTTGTCTCTGTGACGGCGAGTAGTTTTGAGACGTACTTAGCGACCACAAATTATTATCTCTGACCTCTGTAAATTGCTACAGGCTTGATAATAACTGTGGTGGGGTCGTGAAACGGTGTACGCTGTCCCACGAATGGGCAGGTCCGTCCGGGTTAGTACCGCGACCTCAGAAAAGACCGGCGTGAAGTGTTACAATTCTGCGTTTCGTCTGGTGAGTAAGGTAGCCGGGGCCCACTTTATTATAAGGTAAAGCAACTGTAACCGTACGGGTGTTGCGGTTAACATTTAACATCAGGTGAACCACTAGCTCGTTTGCCATTTCTTCACATTAAAAAAAAGTAGTAGCTGCAGATAAAGTTGTCGCTATTACAATGTGCAAAGGTAAGTATAATACATCAGTATTATACTTACCTTTATTTACTACCTTTTATTTTTGGACAGTGGCAACACGTTAGTGAACACCGGCGCCTGGCAACAATAACAGTTCACCTTCGCTCGAGAGCTCTGAAGAGACTCTGAAGGTTGTCAGAGATTGGCAAATATATCTGGTGCTAATCAAGAGATGAAAAGCGAGGTCGATTGAAGGTTTTCGCCTGCTAAAGCGTTGTGGTTTATTTATAAAGCTAAGATTATGTCTGCTAAGAGCTTGACACATTTTATTACGTAACACTGATTTCTGTTGAATATTAAGTGCCCCGAATAGTAAATAAACTACCTAATAAATACTTAAAATGGTTCATTTTTTTTAATGTGAAAAGTTGCCATAATAACGCCGCATGGCCATCTGCTACACCCGAGGGCTGCAAATGCGTTGACAACCTTCTGAAAACTTCGGCAAGCAAAAAGCTCCGGCTACCTCACTCACCAGACGAAACGTGAAAGTATTATACTTCCACTTTACGCCGGTCTTCTGTGAGGTCGTGGTACTTACCCGGACAAGCCTGCCCATTCGTGCAACAGCCGAGGCTGCTGCGTGGCCCTACCACAGTTAATATTATGAATGTATCTGTGATATGTATATGAGGCCTTTCCTAGTTGTATTAGTGGTTGTTCTTGGAATTAAATAAGCATTTAGGTATTTGGTATTATTAATTTCAACGTATTTATGTATTCGTTTTTAAAAGTTTACTT